GAAAAATTCACAATTAAATCCATCTCCCAGTGCTTTTGTTTCTACCATGTTGGGGCGCAAGTCCCCCTGGTGTTTCCTAATTTGGCAGAAATGACTGGAAATGCTGGCCTGGCTTCAAGATCCCCAGACCCAGTAGGGAGACTGACATGTTTCCAACTGATGACCTGTCCACTGCTGGGCTAATGGGTTCTTTGCCAGGAGAGCCATGACATTTTTGGAAAATCAAGAGCCCAGAAAATGAACACATTGTTTAAAATGTGACCCTTCTCTTTTCGTACTTTATCTGCTGGCTTACTTTATTTTTTGTTTGTGTGAGTTATCCATGCAAGAATTTTTGTAGGACCTGACATCAAGCCTCTTTAAGAGATTCAGATATAGAGAACACATATTATGTTATATGAGGGCAGATATTTAGTGTGGTGGGTGTAGATGGAAGTCATATTGTATGATGATTAAGTGAACGGGCTCTGGAGGAAGGCAGACAAATTGTGTAACTGCTCTGTGCCTTGGTTTTCCCATCTGGACAAAGAGTGTGAGAGTACCTAGCTGACTGGTGGCTTTTCAAATTCAATTAGACATTACACATGGAAAGACTAGAATAGGCTTGGTCTACAGGGTGCAGTCAGTAAATAATAGCTACTTTTCAAATGATTAAAATAAACATAGGAGGAGATACAGAAAGCAATTTCATTCTGATAGTCAATAGTCTAAATTTTTTAAATTGCTCCCTAGATGACAATTTTATCTTAAGGAAACATATTTGCTTATGTTTTTTAGATCACATGCAAGCTTCAAAGAAATATGCATTAAAAAAAACAAGCAAACTAGACTTCCGGTCAAGATGGTAGCAGAGGCAGATATGGCTCACCTCTTTGCATAACCACATCAAAATTACAACTAAAATATAGAACCACCATCACTCAGAACTGTCAGAAATTGAATTGGATGGAATTAAAGATACCACATCTATCTGGACTGGTAGGAGAGTAGCAGATGCAAAATGGGCTGGTCCCTCACCTACATGCGGTAGATAAAAATTTGAGGGATATCTTGAGAGCGAGGAGCTCCAGTCCAATACCAGGCCCCCTAGCCCAGGGCACCAGTGCCAGAAAGATAAGTCCCCACAACTTCTGGCTGCAAAAACCAGTGGGGATTTAGTCAGTGGAAGAAAATTCTGTAGTCCCAAGCAGGATCTCTTAAAGAACCCACACACAGACTCACCTACTCAGACTCAGTCCCTCAGAATTCCAGCACCACAGTAGCAGCTTGAAAGGCACCAGTGACATACTAGGAGATGATGAAGTGTTGGCATCAAGGTGGCCAAAGGCCATTGTCCCTTTTCTAAACCTTCCTCCCCAACAAAGCCATAAAGCTGGCAAGCTGGTGCCATATCTGAAACTCCATCAACCTGGCTAACACTGTTTGACCCACCTTGGAGAGTCCCAGAGACTCTGCACCACCAACTTACAGGCCCACCCAAACTGCTTTTCTATATAAATGTCTCATCTTGGCTCAGGCTGCACAGCTTCTTAAATCCTCTCAAACAAACAACAGCTGGCCTCAGTGAGTCCCAGGCCCAGCACTAGCAGCAGCTCCCCTAGATTCACAGCTTGGCTCTGTCTGGGAATCTGTAAGCCCAGGACAAGTAGCAGCCATCTTAGATTTCTTTATAGCTCAGGCAGGATGGCCCTGGGCAAAACACAGGTGGGGGCTGACCTTGGCCTGCACCACCTGGGAAACTCCAGAGCCAGCACACCCAGTGGATAGCTACAGACCACACTGGAGCACCACCACCTGCCCCTGCATAGCTGATCCTCCACGGAGGGCAGGGATTGGTGGCCAGGAGTCACAGCCAATCCTTGCAGCTGACTGGCCTGGTAAATCCCTCCCATTGACCTGCCAATAGCAAGCAAGGCTCAACTACAAGAGGAGGGTGTATTTGGCGCACATGAAGGGCACGCCTGGAGTACCCAGCTTGGGTGACAAGGGAGGTTGTGCCACTGGACCCTATAGGACATCTGCTACATTAGGACATACTACCAAGACATGAACTCAAAGAAGCTCTACCTAATACATAGAAACAAACACAGGGAGGCTGCCAAAATGACTAGACAAAGAAACATGGCCCAAATGAAAGAACGAATCAAAACTCCAGAAAAAGAGCTAAACAAAATGGAGATAAGCAATCTATCAGATGCAGAGTTCAAAAGACTGGTTATAAGGATGCTCAAGGAACTTAGGATCTCAGCAGCATTAAAAAGATCCATTCAGAAGCAATGGATACACTAATCAAAATAAAGGACTATTTACAGGGAAACAGTAGAGTGGATAAAGCAAAGAATCAAATCAATGATTAGGAACATAAGGAAGAAAAAAAACAACCAAACAGAACAACAAGAAGAAAAAAGAAGTAAAAAAACAAACAACAATAACAAAAAAAACAAGGATAGTATAAGCAGCCTCTAGGACAACTTCAAGAAGTCCAACATTCACATCATAGGGGTGCCAGAAGGAGAAGAAAAAAAACAAAAAATTGGCAACCTATTTGAAAAAAATGAAAGAAATGAAAAAAACTTCCCTAATTTGGCAAAGGAAATGGACATGCAAGTCCAGGAAGCACAGAGAATTCCAAATAGGATGGATGCAGAGTGGCCCACTCCAAGGCACCTCATAAATGCCACAGGTTAAAGATAAAGAGAGAATCTTAAAAGCAGCAAGAGAAAAGGAGTTAGTTACCTACAGGGGAGTTCCCATAAGACTGTCAGCTGATTTCTCAAAGGAAATGTTGCAGGCTAGAAGGGATGGGCAGGAAATATTGAAAGTCATGAAAAGCAGGGACCTACAGCCAAGATTGCTCTACCCACAAAACTATCATTTAGAATTGAAGGGCAGATAAAGAGCTTCCCAGACAAGAAAAAGCTTAAGGAGTTCATCATCACCAAACCATTTTTATATGAAATGTTAAAGGGTCTTATTTAACAAAAAGAGGAAGATCATAACTATGAACAATAAAATGGTGAAAATAAATATCTAGCAACAATTGAATCTAAAAAACAAACTAAGCAAACAAGAAGAACAGAGACAGAATCATGGATACAGAGAACATTTTGATGGTTGCTAGATGGGAGAGGGTGGGGAGAATACGTGAAGAGGTGAGGGGATGAAGAAGTATAAATAGATAGTTTCAGAATAGCCATTGAGATGTAAAGTACAATACAGGCAATGGTGTAGCCAAAGAACTTACACACATGCCCCAGGGACATGAACAATGGTGGGGGGGCTGCCTGAAGGAGTGAGGGTGCTGGGTGGAAGGGGGCCAAGGGGAAAAAATCAGGATAACTGTAATAGCATAATCAATAAAAAATAATTAGAAAAATATATTTAAAAAAATTTTAAATATATTAGTGCCCTCCTAAAGTAATCTGTGATTGGAATATTTATACATGTTTGTGAGGGGTGAGCAACCTCCTTTTAAAAATCACCTCTCTCCTGCCAGGTAATTTTACTACCACGATATTCCAGAAGTATTAGGTGAGCACCCTAACTCATGGCACAGTGGCTGAACACATCTGCAATGTTCTCTTTTCATGACTGATAGGGGAAACCTCCGGCCTATTTCCTCAAATAGTGAAACGTTTTGTACCTAGAATCTCACAAGAAGCCTCAGATATGCTGCAGCAGAAGAAAAAGCTCCTCAAACTACAAGCGTCCAGGAAGAATATTTATTGTTGGTAGAAGATATTAATTGAATAAGTCAAATGCCCAATATTTGACCATGGCTGACTATTAAACTGATGACTGAGTTTGGTATAAAAATACTTTTATGAGGAGAAAAGTTAATGTTGAATAATTTCACCTGGAGGAAAAATATGATTTGCCAAAAGCATCTAGAAGTTTATAAAACTAAACTATCAAACTGTCATATTAAAAAAAAAGAAAAAGAAATAAAAGATAAAGCTATCACCACCAACACAAACATCAAGTTTAAATGTAAGGAAGGTAATTAGAAATTCAAATTAGGTAGAATCTCTCTGTTTTTAACTGGGTCATTAAAAAATCCATTTTAAGTTTTTGTAGAAAACAGTGACCAATCCTGAGGAGGAAAAAGTCTTCCTGCCTTTAAATTAGCAGGGTATAGTGAAGAAATCAAGCGTCATTTTTAAATTGCAACCTCACAAATTATAACAAAACTTTATTTGGAAAAATATTTGAATCATAGCTCTTGTATACAACATTTTTTATTTTGATGAGAGAATAGATTTCAGGAGAATGGGGAAGAAACATTTTTCATAAGACTTAAGAGTATATTCAAGACTGTTTAAAACTGTGGGGCAGGGTGAAGCTTACTGAACCCCTCAGCCGGGTACCAGTCACGTGAGTGCGACTTGTGCACGGCTGCAATGATGGGAGAGGACATCCACAACTTGAGAGGAGGCACTGAACTGCAACCCTTCACCTGCGGAAGCTTCATGGGATTAGCAAGATTTTCACAGTGTGGAGACATCCCTGCACACAGCATGGGCTTCATCATAGGAAACCAAAGAACCACTCTGTTGGCATCTCATTGTTTCCATGGCAGATTGAGGAGTTCAGAAATCAGGAACAAATCTGACTTCTCAACACTGCTATGAATTACAAGAAGCCTGTATTCAAATGAATTCTAACCCAAGGTCATGGTTCATACTAAGTATCTAAGAACAGAGGGTAGAAAATTAAGGACCTTTAGAATCACTGTTGGGTTTAAGATCAATAAAGCACAATTCATAAATGACTGAATTTAGAAATCGAGGTCCTTTTAGCAATAATTTGTTACTCTGGCAATTCCAAGTAGTCTTAGTTTGCAAAATAGGTAATAAGGAAAAATGAAATAGAAGATATTCCACTGCATTTTTGAATTCCACAAATATGCGTATATACTAAAACTGAAACATATGGGTGCTCTATCCTTTTTGCTTTTAGGAAAAGAAAAGGTTGTTTACCTTAGCCCACCAGAGACTTACGTCATATCCACTGTTACGAATTCCACGCCGGGGTCGCTCCCGAGTCACTAGAAGATCCATCTCTGTTTCCCCTGGACTTGGGCTATTCAGAGACTGCCGGCTTCGGTAGACAGAGTTCTTCGTCTGTTGCCTGTAGCAAATTCAACAACTGTTATGATGCAGCAAATGCCCTGACAGATGGAATTCTCCACTGATCCAAAATACAGGCAACCAATGAAGGGTTTGGTTGGATTAGTCTCACAAATCTCAGAATTGATGGTATTTGTTCTCCAGCCATGAGGGGCCATAGAAAGAGTAGAATAAAGATTTTTTTCCCAGATGCTGTAACCATTTGGCTGTATTGTAAATGCTCTTTCATATGCTAACTACAATCAATTCTAACACTGCAACCTCATCTAAAATCCTGCTAATGTCAAGGCCAGGGGCTTTCCCTTGACCTTTTAATGCAGCTAACACTAGAAGGCCAAACTTGCTTTTGTGGACTGTTGACTCAGCAGCCCCTGCTCCTTTAACTTTTCTGATTCCGCAGGCAGGGTTCCAAGAGGTGTTTATAAACCTCGAGGCTAAAGGGTTGCTTAATACTGGCAGGATGATGGACTTTCTTTTCTACCTTCACCACAGTGGTTTCCCTTCTGGGCTAAGGAGCACAGAAGGGCAATTTGGGGATCATCTATCCATTGGTCTGTCCATCTATCCATTCAAAGTTCATTGAGTGCCTACTATGTTCTAGTCACTGTGGAAGATGGTGAAGATCCACAGTGAGCAAGGCAGAGCTTACACTCTAATGAGAGAAACAGATTATCCACATGATTTCAGAGTGATAAGTGCTATGAAGGAAAACAAGGAGATGAGAGGTAGAGATTGGTGGTGACAAAACAGACGTGGGGATGTACAGTACAGGACAGGGACTACAGTCAATAATGTTATAATAACTGTGTATGGTGCCCGTTGGCTACTGGAAATACCAAGGGGACCACTCTGTACAGTATATGACTGCCTAGCCACTCTGCTGCGCACCTGAACCCAACACACAGTACTATCGATCCCACAGAGTGGCGAATGTGTGCTAAAATCGCCAACTTCCTTCTTACCCCACGATGAGTTTCCCTTGTAAATAACTGGCATTTCAGACCATCTATATTGAGAGAACCCCCAAATACCACCTATTTTATGTCTCGGTGCTAAGATTCTATCCATTCATGGGCTGAAGGTGAAAAGGTTGCATTATTTATTCACGGTGGCTCTGTGGGAAACCGGAAACCTGGCAGGCATACGTGCCTTTTCATGATCACACTCCCAGTTGGTCACACATGACATTTAAACCTTGTTAGTCTAGAACAGACACCAGAACTCCCAAGGCAAAAATACTACCCTTGCAATTAGCCTAAGGAATAAGACAAGACACTAATAGACCTACTCCCTCACCATGAGGAGCTTCCACCCATTTGGAGAGTACAGTGTTCTCCTCTTGCCTGGTACCCATATGCTATTCTCTGTGGCATTCCCTTTCTCCAGGGGTTGGCATGTGATTCAGGCTGCATGATCACAGCATCATGTCTCCATAACCATACTGATTGGTCAGAGGGTGGGCCCATGAGTTGGTCCAATGAGACTGAGTCCCAGGGCTTTTGTTAGAGCAACCAGGAAAGAGGCATTCTCTTGGCATTGAGATTTCTAAGAAGATAGAATATAAGCCTAGAGGTGCTGGCAGCCAGTTTGTCACTATGAGGCAACAACAGCCTGACTGAAAAGGAGCCGGCAACCAACAGAATCCTGACTAACATAAGAGCCTAAACCTGACAATAATAAACCGTGCCCAATAGTTATCCTATTGGGCTTCTGATAGGAAGCTCCCTTAGGAACGGACTCTGTGAAACAGAATCTGTTCTGAGTGATTCACACGGTAAGAGACACTCCAAAGCATTCTCATCCTCGACGTAATTACAAATCGGTTTTTTGGATAAAGCAGATTTCACAGCTGTCCCGAGGTTGCCAATTAGCCCATTTAGAAAAGATTTACTAATAAGAGTGGTGGAGGGGGGAATACTAGGATTAGTCATTGACATTTGAGGAGGTTATTTTGGAAGTGGTAGAAACACAATAGTGAGACTGTGTAAGCCCTTTCAAGAGCCACAAATGTGGGTGAGAGATTAGATGCTGGAGTGCGCTCCAGTCTTCTTTTCTGTGAAAGACAAATGTTCCATTATGACACGCAGCTTAAAGGCCGCTGTGTAGCTCGGATCTCCACTGACCAACCATCAGGGTGTGCATGGCGTGCAAGACACTACTTACAAATCCTTGGGCTCTCAGGTAGAGAAATGACTCGTTTTAATCAAATAGAGTTCCATGAGGTGTATTGATTTCTTGTTGGCAGTTCACTAGATTCTTTAAATGTTAATACATTTAGAAACTTGCAAACTTGAGAAGATTTTTTTGCCTCTGAAAATACTGCTGTGTAGCTCATGATAAATTTTATTTGGGTTTTTGGGTTTTTAAACCCACTGTGGTTTAACCGCCTGGCCCGCCCTCTGGGAAGGAGGTGGAGGAGCCCTCCTTCCATCAGCCGGCTCTGTCTTTATGAGTTATTGCCTTAGTTTGGGTTCTCCCAGAAGCAGGCTTTGTAACCATTTAAGTACAAGTGATTTATTTGGGGGAGGGTTCCAGGAAGCACAAATTGGAAGTGGGAAAATGAGAGGGGGGGGAAGGAGGCCAGTAAGGGGTATGATATAGAGCAGATTAGTGTTTTGGGCACCTGGGCCTCAAACTCATTGGAAAAGTGTGGGAGAAAGTTGTTTCAAAGTATAGGTTTTTGTTTTATTCAGGGATGGCAAGACCAAGAGCTCAGGAGATGACTGCTATTGAAATGATCTCCAAAAGAAGGGGCATGCCACATGGGGCCACAGGAGGGCCACATGGGGAAGCACATGTCACAGCATCTGTTACAAGGAAGAGGGGGGTGAGGGGAAATGTGGGCAAGAGGACTTACTGTGTTTTATGGGAAGGAACAGACAAGGCAGGGTGCGCAGGCTTAGGACTGGGGCGTTGGAATAATTTCAGCAGAATCTGGGGCAGAGGGGCGGGCTGGGCCCTGGCTTTTTGATCTGTGTATGAAAGGCATACTTGCAGGTGGGCCCCTTACTTCTCTGAGGATTGGCTAGACAGCCCTGGGGAGGGCAGCTTCTCCGGGCTTAGTAAGGTCCCAAATGTCAAACCATGAGATACAGGAGTTACAAAACGTGATTGTTAGAAGAATGTTGTTTTATACCTCAGAGTTCTCCCATCCCGTCTGTCACTGATGGAGGCTGTCCCAGGGCACATTAACTACCTGACACTCTTGGTAGGGGCTGCCCCCCAAAAAGGCCTCAAGCCAGAGTCAGAGATGTGGGCACAGTAGGAGCGAGGGGACCCATGGTGGGGGTTGGCCTCTGATGGCATCCACCTCTGGTACATCACACACTTTGTGCCTCCGGGTAACATGACATAAAAATGGGGCACTCTTCTGACTGGAAAGAAAAACCCGTGAAACCTCTTTTAAAAGATTCCAGGATAAGTCAACCTTTGGAATCTAAACTTTGTCTTTTATTAGCTTTATTTGAGCCTCAGGCTAAGATTCTGGTTACTGACGTTGCCTCTGGTCTGCAGAACGACTCCCTCCCCAGAGCCTTGTGGAGGCTGGGTTCCTGGGAGCAGAAGTCCTGGAGAGCTGAGCTGTGAGTGGCAATTAAAAGGTCACTCTAACTGGGGACATCGGCCAGCTCACAGTAAGAGCCTCTGGAGGCCATGGCAGAGTGTGACAGGAGCAGCATCTTGGAGCTTGCTGGGTCTCTGTCACTCTCTTTCTCTTTTAAGCTTTCCCTCCCCTTCCCATCGCTTGCTAATTTCATCTCTATTCCCACTCTCACCTCACCTGATTTGTAGTACAAAAAAAATTTAACATTTTTGGTGCCTTTATGTCATTATGTCATTTCTTCAATAGACACTTCCTGAGACTCCACTCTACATTCATGGGTCAGCAGGTCATCAAAGGGCCTTGAGAATCTGGCCTGAACCTATGCTAGGCAGTGATGAGGCATCTCTATGGCAAAAGAAGGTTTTGTTCTTTTTCTTTATAAAAATCCTCAACTGTACTGGAATCCAAACACAACACTACAGAAAGCCACCACCATATAAGAGAAGAGACCAAGAAAATAAGACAGGAACAGAGAACTACAAAAATAATCCGAAATAATAATAAAATAGGAGTAAGTTACATAAGTATGAAGAATGAAATGTAAATGGATTACCTGCTCCAATCCAAAGACAAATGGATAAAGAAGGTGTATGTGTATACAATGGATGAAGAAGGTGTGGTATGTGTATACAATGGAATATTACTTGGTCATGAAAAGAACAAAATCTTACAGTTTGGAAAAGCACAGATGAACCTGGAGGGTATGATGCTAAGTAAAATAAGTCAGACAAAGAAAGAAAAATACCGTATGTTTTCATTTACATGTGGAATCTAAAAAACAAAACAAATAAACAACAAAAACAGAAACAGACTCATAGGTAAAAAGAAGAGACTGATCGTTGTTGCCAGAGAGGTGGGGGTTGGAGGACTGGCTGAAAAAGGTGAAGGAATTAAGAGGTACAAACTGGTAGTTACGAAACAGTCGTGGGGATGCAGAGTACAGCACAGGGAACATAGTCAATAGTACTCTAATAACTGTGTGTGGTGCCAGATGGGCCCTGGACTTACTGGGAGGATCACTTTGTAAATTGTATAAGTAAACGTGTAATCACTATGCCGTACACTTGAAACTGATATAATACTGAATGTCAACCATAACTGAAAAATTAAAAAATATTTCAAAGCCTCAACTGAAATTTTTATTTATTTCTCAAATAGCTTCCAAACTAAGTTATTCTATCTGCACACCACCTTTGGTTCATTTCCTGAGTGGCGGCAGGAAACCCAGAGAAAACAGTCCCCCACTCAGACTACAAAAGACTGCGGAAGTAAAAAGTCTCCAAGTGCAAAGTAAGTGCTAAAGAACCACCCCTGGGCCTCCCCATAAAATCCATATCTTTTCTTCTCTTTCTTCTACGGTTATCAACACGGCGACACATGCATTGTGAACTCTGTCACAGTGTGATTTTGCATCAATAGCCTAATTAAAAGCAGGGTAAATGAAGCACAGGATTAAAAGTCTCTTAGTTCCTTGTTGAAAATAAATGATGTCTATTCTATTCATAACATTAGCTCCACATCCCAGTGTGATTTTGTGGCTTCCACCCAAGCCTGCTACACGGTCATTTTTGATTTTAATAAATGCCCACGCCGGCAGGCAACCGTCCTGTCCCACCCAGTCTGTGGAGAGTGTGTTTGCCAAGGGAACGGGGTGGGTCGGAGCATTGGCATGCTATAAGCCAAGGGGCTGTTGCCAAGGAGAATGTGTATTTAAAAGAGATGGTCTGGAAGCATGAAAATGCTTCTGAAGAAGTGCTCCAGGGTGGGGAGGAAAAGAAGGAAGGTGGGCATGTACAGCTTTGCTAAAACCTCTAATCTTTCCCCAGTAGGTGAGGTCACTCTCTGCTCGGCTGGCAACAAAGCTGGGGAGGATGTTAATTCAAACCACCAGGCCTAACCTTCGCTCGGGAGGCCAATTTCCACTTACACACCGTTATTAGCACCTCACATCTCAAACACCCATCATGCTTGTGAGTAATAAACTTCGGAGGTGGTATCTTTCTCTCCCAATTCAGGCCTTAAATTCCGTAACAGCAGCAATTCATCTGTCTTGTCTGCCATAAAATGTTGAATGAGTTGAATGAGTGAGTAAATACATGAATAAGAAAAAACAACATGACCATGACAGTATTTAGCATCTTGCGTGGTGGCTAATATATAGCAGGTGACAGTAAATGTCAAATAGATAAACGGATCTGTGATTCAAGAGCTGAACCCAGCATGGAGCTCTGAGCAGCTACGTGGTGGATGCGTACTGCAGCTGAATGACAAGGTGAGGTATGACATTTAATTTCCTTATGCAAGAGCCACTAAAATGAAAAACACCATGCCCTTTGATCTGGAAGTTGCATAACCAGGTGGGTGATAATTCTATCTTCACCCAGCTCTGAAACAGCCACAGCTGGAAAGTATCATTAAACTAAGGGACAGTTATGGTTGTTTGCCCAAGTATTTCTGTAATGGCTTCAGTTTTATTCTCTTCCTGACTCATTATGGAGCACGTGCTTGCACAGAACAGCATGGTGTGGCTCAGCAACCTTCACAGATGACAGTCCTCTGGTAAGAGATAAAGGGACCATATTGCCCAAGGAACCCCCTGCCCCTCATCCCACCAATGCCATGGTGACCTTCAGAGAATTCCCTTGCTGTCGCACCTGTTTTTAGACTCAGCGAACGGGGCACACAGTTCCGGGTCTGGATCCAACACGTGCTCGATTTCTTTCTGGGCTTTTTCATACATCTTTTTTCTTTCAGTCTGAGCCTTGTTTGTCTCTACTGCAGGAAAATCGTAATATCCCTTCCTCTTGGCTTTGAGGCGCAGCTTGTTCCGATAGTGCTCGATGTCCGACTTCTGCTTCAGCGCTTTGTTCACCTGGGGAGAGAGACCGTCTCAGGCCCACACTTGTCCCTGACGGCGACAGGTAGGAGGCTTCCATCAGAAGGCCACAACTCCAGGAAACGTTATCCTAGGCTTCCTGTCTGGGCCTTTGAGCCAGCCAGACCCAACTGGGACCCACACCAAGACCAGCCCACAGCAGTGGTCCACAAACGTGGTGAGTCTGGCACTCACCTTCATCACCTGGGACCTTCCATCAAGGCCTCCTTCTCTCTGATCTCCCTGAGTCTGTTCAGACCTAGGCCTGAGGCCAGGCTTGTAGCTTTGTGGTGTGGGCCTTAATCCCACATAAACCCTGCTGGTCCCCTGTATGTCAGCCTCTGGCTTGGCAGCCCAGCTAGATATTAGTGTCCTGAGCCTGACTTCAGCCCGGAGGAACCCAATGTTCTCCCTTGGCCATTTAGTTGGTGCCTAGCTGAATAAGCCAGTTCCTGGAGGGACTGAACTGAGATGAATAGGGGGGGAAGGGGGAACAGACATCCTGTTCCCAAGGTCTCTGCACTCTATGAGAGCTTATTTGTATCAATCTGTATTCTTCTCAAGAGATAGGGAGTGATGAAGCCTTGTACAGCCACTAATGCCAACCAGTTCCTGCTCTGAAGGGCAAAGCCAGTCAGGACTTCAAAAGGAACATGGCCAACATCCTTCCGACCTGTCAAGATACAAGCAGATGACTACGCTAAGCAAATCACAAATGATGAGGGTGTTATACCCATGAATGGAACTGAATGATGAAATCCACCTGACACTTATTGGATGATATGGGGAACCATTAGTGCTATTTGAAATCAGACTTGACTACATCGATATAATCGTATGAAGAGTTGTTATTATGTTTTCTTTAAAATAATCTTTAAGCCTTGGCTGGAGTGGCTCAGTGGATTGAGAGCTGGACTGCAAACCAAAGGGTCGCCAGTTCAATTCCCAGTCAGGGCACATGCCTGGGTTGTGGGCCAGGTCCCCAGTTAGGGGGTGTACGAGAGGCAACCACACTTCGAGGTTTCTTTTTTCCTCCCTTCTCATCTCTAAATAAATAAGTAAATTTTATTAATAAATAAATAAAATTTAATTTTAATTTTTATAACTTTTAATTTTTATAAAATTATTTATAAATAAAGAACATTTGTTTTATAAATAAAATTTATTTATAAATAAATTTATTTTATAAATTTATAAATAAATAAATTTCATAAATAAATAAATAAAATTAAAAGGAAAAACTAAAATAATCTTTAAAAGAATTTCCTATAATTCGTAAAATGAAAATGCATCCAGTGATAAGATATGTATCACAGCATCAGGACCACAGTCCACTCTCTTAGATATTTTAGTTTTACAATATTTGAAGAAAAAAATAACTGAAGGACATGTTTTTTCTAACTTTGGCAAAGTTCCCCCATTCTGAGCTCTAATGATATTTTCAGGTGGGCAGAATTTCACAGGTCTTAACAGTTCCTTCGTTCTGCTTGCCACTGGGAGAACCAGTAGACAAAGTTAGTATAGCATCCTCTGAGTCAGGAATCCCTTTTCTGGAATTTTGCTTTAGCTGACACGAGAGAGGTTCAAAATCAGAGCTGAAAGCTAACACCACCAGTAATCAGACACACCAGTGTCAGGAACTTTCCGATGAGATGCCCACAAAAGGGCACATCACTCCTATGGTTGTGACAAAAAAATGCATCAATCCAATCATAAGAAAACATTAGACAAACCCAAACCGAGAGATATTCTACCTGATAACCAGCCAGTACTCCTCAAAACAGTAAAGGCCGTGAAATGTAAGAATGGTCACAAAGAGTGACGGAGGAACTATCCCAGACTGGAGGAGATGAGGAGACAATTAAATGCCACGGGGGATCCTTGACTGGACCCCGGAATAGAAAAAGGACATTAGTGGGAAAATCAGGGAAGCTCCAAGGAGGTCTGTGGATTGGTCAACAGTGTTGTACCAGTGTTAATTCCCTGGGTGTGGTCATTATTCTGTGGCTCTGACAGATGTCAACGTTAGGGTCAGTGGGAAAAGAGTGTATAGGAACTCTGTACTATTATTAAACCTCTCCTGTAAGTCTAAAACTGTTACAAAATAAAAAGTTTTTAAAAGTGTTGCATGAAATTCTTCATTGAAGTGTTATTTATTATAACCAAAACTGAAACAAAAAAACACCCAGAAGGCTCGAACATCGAGTGTTCAAGTCGATGGCATCCCTTCTCAGCGCATTCATTAACAGTGATTGTCAACAAGACAACAGCAATATGGCAGGTGCTTACCGTACAGGATAGAAAGCTGTTGTGATATGAAGAGACTCTAAAATACCAATGAGTTTGATCAAAAGCTTGCAGAGGAAGTGCAAAAATGAAAAAAGGGGATGTTAGGGTAGTGAAATTATATTGATTTTTCTCTTATTTTCTCAACTTTCTATGTTATGTTTTCTTTCACACAATCTTTGCAAGGATTTCCTGTAATGCATAAAAGAAAAATTTATGGCTTTGGCGCTGTGTTTTCTTCCCTTAGACAAGGTACCCAGAAGAAAAGAAGGGAGCAAGTTATAAGACAATTTGCCCTAAAATCCACAAGGCTGCAAATCACAGAGAACCATTCAGGGCTCTTTTCCCACCGTAATGCCAGTAAGGTCCATTCCTCTAACTACCAATGTGTAACGGGTGTCCACTTCTGGACAGAGAAAATGCTCATCTCTCTCCTTCTGTGATAGGGTGATGGGCTTGGCAGGAAAAGGGAGCAGTAAACTGAATTTAGTTGAAATGTGAAATCTGTCTCTGTGACATTGATACCACTAGGCTGTGATGGAAAGATCCAGACATGGCGGTCATTGCCCAGGTCCATACCTGGGCAGAGAGCCCTAGTCAAGAGCAGTTCCCCAGAGCATTAGTGACAATCTCAGAGACTGTAATCACTGGGCTTGCATGTCTGGTGACAGAACTGTGCCTAAGGAAAGATCCAGTGGGTGTGATTGGCTTTGAGAAAACATGTAGGTTCCCAAATTATAAAGCCAAGGGGTGTACAGTACATAATCCATGAATCCTTGTTCATTGGCTGACTAACTGATAATGAGGAGGAGGAGGAAGAGGATATGCTTGCTGAATGCTAGGCACTATTATAAGTGTTTTGCACTATTATAAGTGTTGTCATCCTTATGGCAGCCCCGTTCTACAGGTGGAGATACTGAGGCCCAGAGAAATGAACTAACCTGCCTAAGGTCAAACAGATAGTAAGGAGAAGAGCTAGGATTCCAATCCTTGCAGCATGGCCTGAGAGTTCCAGATCTTTTAAGTACAATGCTGTTTTTCATTGTTGGGCCACAGTAAGTCAAAGAGATGGAAGGAGCACTGGACAGGGAACCAGGGGACCTGAACATCATGGATGTCGCAGTGACCTGCAGTGTGACTTTGAGTAGGCTGCTTGACCCCTCTGGCTTCATTTCACTTAAGTGTGTTTGTGTGTGCACACGTGTAATGTAAATGTTCACATGCAGGTTGCATGTGCATGTCCTAAAGGCTCATAAGCATCTTTAGCCCATTTAGACCATTCAGCTGCAGAAGATGGAGAAATGGCAGATATTAAGCTGACTGGTTCTCTTGCCCTCCCCTAAATTGCCTCTGCCTATCTATCTACCCATCCATCCACCCACCTGTCCATTATCCACCCACACATCCATTATCCATCCATGGATATCTATCCTATTCATCCATCTGTTTTTCTTTGTGAAATCATAATTCTCCATGTACATTATAATTTTCAGGCCCTTAGCAAAAGTGATTACCCCATGATATCCACAGATATCCTTCTGAAAGCAGGCAAAGGGTTGTCTGAAGCTTGCTTGAAGGAGTAAAAGTCATTTCAAAGCCTCTGTAGTGGGCCATGTCCCTGCCCAAGAGACAGTACCTTCTCCAGTTCCCACTCACTTTAAGCCCCTTGCACCCCCACTACAACTGACCTCCCAGGATGCATGGTTCAGGAGTGTTACCAAGGAAGGTAGACTGTATGTGTGTAAGAGGTGGGGAAGAATTCTGATGTTTCTCTTCATGACTCCAGCTTTTAAAAATTCCCCCACTGGGCTTTTTAGTAAAGGTAATAATGCTCTGAAAATATCACCCTACAAACTCATTTGAGGTGACTTGTGTCCTGATTCATTCCGCCAAGGCCTGTGCATGCAGAGGTAAAAATGACCAGTGGAGCCCTATATATCTGGAGGCAACCTGCCCCCAGCATTCCCGGGTGGTGCTCCTGGCCGCCCTGGCTCTCACCCGCTCTGCGTCCTCAGCTGCTCACCTCGCCATTGAGCACTGCCGCCTCCTGGCTCCGGTCCGAGGTGGGGTGCACCACGGGGAGGGCCGTGGGCTTTATTGCGATCAGCTGCACAGATCCAGAAGATGTGTCAAAAGGATCGGCAGCCACCTTGCCAGAGTTGTCAAAAAGAACTGCTCCTTCCTCTTCATCGCTCGCGGGTACTAAGGCACAAATAAACACATCAGTTTTATGGCTGCAGGGGAGCTGCATGGTCGTGGGGGGATTTATGTGTAACGCTCACAGTCTCAGGACATCACTCGAAATGACCTCAGAAACAACAGCGTCTGGTTTGGTGCCAAGGGCTCACTGCTGCTCCTGTATTTCTTTTCAATTCAAGATCTACACCATTCAGTCCTTCACTGTGTCATCGATGGGGAGGAAAGAATTTTAGACATTGAATTTAAATGGTAAAAACCATTCTTTCAAAATTATGACACTTAAAAAAATGCAACTTGGTTAGAACTACGACTCTTCTTAAAATATGACAATCAACAGAATAACAGCGTTCAGTTCAGTCTCTGCCACCAAAGCTACCCATTTTTGCACAATGTTAAGGTGACAAGTCTTCCCAGGTCATCCAGCTGCGATAATTGCAGTGGACACATCATCATTTTTCTAAAGTGTGCTTCTCAGTGATTTGGGTGTTAGTTTCGTTTGTCTAAAACCAAAGAAAACTAAGAAATAATCATCAGAGAAACTAATTTAAAGCTACAGACAACTCCCTTAATTAAATAGAGCAATTTTCACCTACGCTCTTTTAAATTAGTTCTCACTTCTGACAGATAATTCTACCGTGATTGTTGAAAGACACCAGCCTGCCTTGAGCTTCCAGAACTAAGCAGATGGAAGAAGTTCCAGGGCCCGTGGTACCTTGCTGATTTAGTTGTTCCTAAAGCATAATCCCATTAAGTAACTATAAGAATGACAGTTTATTGAGTGTGGCTGGGCGAGAGATAAATGAAGCCTGCTCAAATAACTAAACCAGTAGGCAATTTAGGAGCAAAATAGGTATCATTAAAATATGGATGTACTAGAAGTATATTTATCTTTCTTCCTGTCTGCTCAAGAGATTGGAATGTTATTTAAATAATTGAGAAACACATAGTTTGTGGCACTCTGTCACTTATCATAATCACAGAGGATCTGTCAAATTAAGCCAAGTAAATTGTTACTTCGTAATGTGGCTGAACACCTCAGAGTCTAACAGCGGCTATAACTGGAGTATTTTTTTTGGTTCTGGGGGCTTATTTGCAAATAGCAGCTAATGACAGAGCACAGTCTCTCCTCAGGCAAGTTACCAGATGCATATGTTTTCAGAGTAGAGCTTTGCTCAGCACCATTACCTCCTACCTGGACACGTGCAATGAAAGCCACCTGTGAGACCCAGCCTGCAGAATGGCAGCCAGTAATTCTCACCTCCTGCTAATAACAGGACTGACCTGTGTAACCGAAGGGACGCTTTAGAAATGACAGTGTGTTACTTCGATGGCGAGGTCACTAAACGACATGTGGCTTCCACCTGGCTCTCTCTGGGATCACTTACTCCGGGAAAAGCCGGCTGCCCTGGGATGAGGACACTCAGGCAGCCCTACGGAGAGGTCCATGTGGCAAGAAACCGAGACTCCTGCCAACAGCTGTGAATGAGCCACCTTGTAAGTGGGTCTCGAAGGCCCAGCCAAGCCTTTAGATGACTACAGGCCAGACTGTGACCTCATGAAATTCTGACCCAAAGCCACCCAGGTAAGCCACTCCTGAATTCCTGACCCACAGACATTGCGTGACATAACAGATAGAGATTGTCATTTTGATTGCTAGGGGTTAGGGTAATTTGTTACATAGCAACACAACAAGTAACTAATATATCTCCTAAACAACCCCCCACTCCTGTCCTCCTACCCCTAAAATACCCGCTCTACCAGCAGCCAGGATGGGTTAAGGCTACCAGATCACAGTATTCCTTTGATTCGAGCCTTCTGAAGGCTTCATGTCTCTCAGAATAAAGCCCTGAGTCTTTGGCGTGGCTACCAAGGTTCTGTACAGTTCAGTTCAGTCTTGGCCACCTTGCTGAGTTCACGTCCTGCCTCTCCCTGCTGTCCCCTCTGCTCCAGCTACAACAGCCCACTCGAACATGTCAGGCTTCTACCCCCCACCTCTGGGAGTTTGCATTAGCTGTTCCCTCTGCTCAGAAAGCTCTTTCCCCAGATCTTTATATGCTTAGCTCCCTATTTTGCAAGTTGCAGCTTGGAAAAGACTTTCCTTATCCACCCATCTAAAACAGCCTGAGTCATCACCCTGGTACACTTTCTTCATAGCATTTGCTACTGTTGATCTGTGTACTGGTTTAACCTGCCCCAGCCCTGCCACTAGAACATGAGCTCCAGGCTTGCCCATCTGATTAAAGGCAATGCCCATTACCTTTAAGAACACCTCATAGGTGGTTGGCTTTCAATTAAGGCTTGCTGAATAAGTGACGACTAAAGGAACAGCTAAAATTTCCTGACTCGGAAAGGAGATGTTAGGATCTGCAGAACAGGTAAACAGGCAGAACATGCTATTAAACTCCTCAGATGAAGAGTCGGGGGTTAATATTTTTATTGTTTCTGGGTTGTGACAACCTTACTCCCTGCCCCCTGGACAGAGTAAGGGGAGGTGCATAACTGTAAGGAGAAAGAAAAGAACACTCTGGAAACTGTACAAACTACAGTTCTTTTTCATTCTCACTCTCAAAATAATCATATTCAGATTTGCACAGTACTTCCTCTAGGTTTAAGAGAAAAAATAATTAGTTATCCTCCCCCCAAAGACTATATGCAAAAATGCATTAAAGGACATTACATTAAATATGAATACCAGAATATTATGTGGGTACAGCAGGTTCATGGGAATATTTAATGCATAATTAGTACCTAAAGAAAAAGCAGGGGAGAAAGCTAAACAACAGGGCCACAGTCAAACTGTGGAGTGTCCTGGATACCATCACCATCATGCTAGTAAACACCAACATCCTGGATCTGGTTGTGTCTGAGTTCCACTGTTGGTCTGAGTTTCTGCAAATTAAGCTGGGGAGGGAGACTTCATTTCTTCATGTTTAAACTGGCATGGATGGGGAGAGCCCGCCCATCTGAGGCAGAAAACGCTCTCACAGGAAGCACGCTCTTCTTTTCTGGAATTTCCGATAACACTCAGAGACAACATATAACTAGCATCGCTAGTTATTATCTGATAAACAACCCTCTGGTGTTGTTTATCAGATAATAGGCAAGTCCTCACCCCATTGGGAAGGTAAAGAAAGATGAAAACTGAGACTGGTTTTGAGCTAATAGCTCTGACACGTCCCCAGGGGCCCCTGCTAAGAAGGTGGTAATTGCTCCTCTAAACGCTCTTGTTCTTGTCCTGCTCTGGGCCCGTGCACCTCGGGACTATTGGTGGGCAAGGTCTGATTAGCTTCTGAGCTTTGGCAGGGAAATCTCCTAGTGGCTTAAAGGAAGGTGCACACGTGGGGGTTTATGGAAGTTTTTGCCCCTCGATGACTGAAGATTTAAATACACGTGCTCTCATCTGGCACTCATTTTTAACTCTTTTCCTGGAAAACACTTTTTCCAAGGTGATGTTGGTTTTAATTCAGAAGTTGAAGTGTCTGTATTTGGTTGAAATTTTTCCAAATTCTTTTGCTTTCCAAATCCTAGCTTTCACATCTCTTTTCCCCACTTATATTTAAACACCATCCTGGAACAGACCCTAAACTAGCCTTGCACCTGTGGTAACTAATGAGGCCATTGAGCTACAAGGACCTATCCGAGCCACGCTGCTGGCAGGATAGTGTTTTTTCCTTTTAGAGTTCTTATTTTCACAAAAGTGGAATATCAGAAATTACAAATGCAACAAAACTGGCAGGAAACAAGAACAGTTTTAGAACAACTGCCTGGTACATGAACATTTATTAATCAACCTTAGTAACTCTAACCTCTAAAATGGATATGGAGACAAAAATCAACAGTCTCTGAATATTCCATACCAAGAGAATAGTCTATTCTCAGAGGCCACAGTTACAAACACCTTTTGTAAGCTGACAGTATGATGCCTTTTTTTTCCTCCACAATTCCATTCTTCCTTCCTTCCCTCCCTCCCTCCCTCCCTCCTCCCTCCCTCCCTCCCTCCCTCCCTCCCTCCCTCCCTCCCTCCCTCCTTCCTTCCTTCCTTCCTTCCTTCCTTCCTTCCTTCCTTCCTTCCTTCCTTCCTTCCACCCTCTATACCAATAAAATACACTACTGATTTTTACTGGTGAACTCTAACCCAGCATTATGACAAGGTGGAGCTCTTTGATAAAAAAGGACAAGTGTAGGTTCCAGGGAAGGACCCAGTGGAGAGGCGGATCAGAATACAGGCAGGACCAGGAGGACAGGGAGGCTGCACAGGTGTCTGACAGATGTGAGCTGCGGATGGTGCCACAGCACGGCCGGGTGGCTCCAAGGACTATCAACAGATCCTGACACCAAACCTTTATAAGGAGGGAGAAGATCTGTTTGAGAAACTCAAAGTTAACTTTCCCTGGAGAATGAAGGCAGAAGCATAGGCTCGTGTTTACAATGACAGGTTTATTACTGTGCTGTTTTTCCTGAGAGAGGTGCATTTGCAATATCTGGGCTCACTGGCCTAGACTGAACCGCTGACACATAGCAGGGAGTCAGAGCAAGAAAAGGAGGGAAATCTCCAAGACAGACAGCATTTCAGAGATCTGCCACCCCAGTGGATCTGGTGTTAGAAATGTCTATTCACCTCAGAATTAGAAAAATCTCTAAGCAAACGTCAGTTCATTCTGCATAGTTTTTAAAGGCCCTACATAGTTCCATAAGAACAGGGGGCAGAATAATTCAGAGAGGGAGGTAAGCTGATACCTAACAGGCAGGTAGAAAGCTGAGCCCTGGCCTTTGTAGGACGCAAAAGAAAGAAGAACTGAGGGTGAGAGCACACTGGTGTGTGTGAGCGTGTGCAGGCCTGTGAGCACAGGTGAATGGGATGGGCTGAGGTGGTGCTTGGCAGGGAAGGCTTCTCACCATTTCTCTTCCTTGCCTCCTCCTTTGTCACTTTCTGCTGTGCCATTACATTCTGGGGTGAGCGCCTCTCCAAGCTGGGCTTCCCTGATTCGTTGCTGATGATAGAGCCGTTCTCACTGGGCGACCTGCTGGAGGTAACCATAGCAACAGGGAGATGGTAAGTTCCGACCAGAGCAGCCTCTTCTCAAGGTTATTTTATTTGCACAGTTTATGTCTGTAGACTTTCATTCTGGTTTAATCCACAAAGAAGAAATGATTCAGAAATTTAAAAAGAAATCCATACTACAGCACGAGTTCAGTAGCTAGTTGTTCTGAAGTGCACTGACTGGTGCTCAGCTGTGCAGAGAAGTTCAGTGAGTGCAGCTCTGTTCCTTTTCATTAACCCCCAGTGACTATGGAAACGGTGGCGATGGTGTTTTAAGTATACCCTCTTATTAGAACAGCACTTTGGAGAGTGCTGAGTATTTGATTCACACAGCATCTTTAGGGACAAGTATGAATCATGGTTCTCTTGGGCTACTCTTAACAGGATATACCTTGACTACTAAACATGAAGTCACCCCACTGTTAAGCTCTCTCTCTCTTTCTTTCTCTCTCTTTCTCACACATACATTCTTAACTCTGCGAATTGCTAACCACTTCCATTTGAAACTACCAATTGGGTTATTTATTCATGCAGAAAATGCTTTATGTGTGCCATCTCTGTACTGGGCACTCATTGTACAGGCACAGAGAGAAACTAACACCACCTGCGCTCTCCAACAGCTCTGCATCGGGAGCAACTGCAATACCAGTGGTCAAGGACGATGCTGAATGCTTTTGAAACTGTTAAGGAATCATTATGACAATCCACAGATTTGGTGATCATCACCCTTGTTTAGCTAGTGAGAAATGTGAAGTTCAAGGAGCTGAAGTATTCTGTCCAGGGCAGAGTTGGGATGTGGCACATCAACTCTGGAAGCCAGAGCTCCCCCTGCAGGTGGGGAGTTTCCCTACATGTCAGAGCACCTTCCCTTTACCGTCTCTCTACAGTGTCCCAGCTGAGGCAGGGGTAAGCCACGGGGTCTTTTTGCCTTCCTCAGGGGCTGGACTCAGGCCTTCTGGAACCTGGTGGGAAACGGGGCTCTTGAGAGCTCTTCTGAGTCCCTGTTCCCTAGGGCCTGAGACCATGCCAGCCTGTGGGTGGGCTGAGCATAAAGACCAACTGCCTTCCCCTCTGTGGGAGACAATGAGGAGGCAGATATTGGATCCCATCAAAGCTCTGGTTTGTCTCTTGTCAACTGGCCAGATTCAGAACATAACGGCATCGGCCCTTGCAATGGAAATTTACTATAGTGAAATGCAGCACTTGACCTAATAGATGCCCCTCTTCCTCCTCCTCTGGGAATTTAGAATTCTCAGGTCTGTACACTTCCATGCACTTTAGCACCCTAAAAATCATGAACAATGATAGTACCCACTTACAGCCCTGGGATAAGGCAGAGTCTGCCAAGAGTGGACCACTGGGTTCAAGTGAGATGCTCTTTACCAAAGCCCCGCATGCAAGTATGTTAGGGAAATGCTGTTCGCTCTATCCCTTCTGTGGATATTCCTAATGCACATGTACACACCAAAGGCTCAGACTGGTCCTGTCATAAAGAGACTCGTCTTGTTTTGTTTAATTCAGCATTTCCCAGTTTATTTCGCTATAGATCTCTTCTGCCATAAAAATCTCTTAATTTCCAATAAAACTTGTAATATGAAAAGTAAGTTTGGGAACATATGGATAAGATACTAACTTATGGAATATATTTCATTTATTCTTCAGCTATTTGGCTGCAGAATACTGGGAGTACAAGTACACGTACGCAGGGAGTGTACACGTCCTTTGATTGTTTTCGGAAGCTCACAGTTAATGGCACACACTCCTCCAACTGGCATTATTCGGTGAGGTCCCAAGGAGAGGGAAGGGAAAGGCTTCTTGTAATATATTTTACATTCACAGGTTACTTAATGGTTTTCACAGCATTTGCTGCTCCTACCCTTTCCCTCATTTGATCCTGAAACAATTTTCTGGCTGTTTCTTTTCAAGGGAAGATGTGAGTGAGTAGATTTTTGGAGAAAGAGAAAAAAAATTACCTTATTTTTCAGACCATAAGATGCACTGAGGTTTTAGAGGAGGAAAATAGGAGAAAGAAATTTTGAAGCAAAAAATGTGGTCAAATACTTAATAACATAAATAACATAATATTTCACCCATGTAAATGTAAACAGAACTCAAAGGCAGCATTAAGAACCTTTATTCCTCCCAAATTTGGGGAGGGGGAGGTGTCTTATAGTCTGAAAAATAAGGTACTCTGCTTTACTCTGCATCAGCTTATAGGCAGGTTTATGTAGAGCCATCAGCTCAAAATTTCTGGTCAAAACAGGAGTGAGATTTGTACATGTATGTGTGTCCACTCGTATGACAGTCACGAAGATGTTTTTGAAAGCAAGACAACATCACCAGTGAGATGGCAGTTTGGGGATACCGAATTCAATAGCCTCCATTCTGAGGATGTGGGTGTACATGAAAACTGGAAGAACAATCTCACGGAGAGGATTAATCAATTGCTGAACATTTACAGCCAATCACTGCACTGAAGTCACCATTGTGAATGGCTGATTCTTCACCCTTGCCCCTTAATCCCAACTGTGGACCAACAAAATAGCATTGGCAGAGTCTACATAAGGCAAAGGTCCCACCATGTCTGCCTGGTTGTCTGCAAGTGGTTGAACGCTCATTTTCCTTCACTTTTAAAACAAGTTTTGAATATCGAGATACCTTAATGACCACCAAATCACTGCTTTTCCCTATTTTTCACTTGTGAAACTTTTCAGATCATCTAACAGGCCCATTCTGAAAGGTCACGCAGTCCTGATCTGGTAGGGATGAGGAAGTTGACAGGAAAGTCTGAAATGCAGATGCATGAGGGGTTTGCTCTCAGGTCTGGCATCTTAAAATTTTCCCAACTGACCAGATTCCCGTGGTCGGCTGCACTTGAACAGAGGTGAAATTTTTCCTTTGGCAATGATATAGCCAGACCTTAGCAAAATTATATCTTTATGGTAAAATCACGAAGCAAATTTAGAAATCACTCAGCAATATAGGTATTTTCTTTATCTGTATTTGTTTCATAAACTAGTATTTATTGATAAAAATCTGGAGGTAACTAAATTTTGTTAGCAAGAGTAGATGTCTTGCTAATTCAAGATGAAATGCTGGAAATAAACTTTTAAGATAAAAAAAAAGAAATGCTTGGTCTAAAAAAAATTTTTTTAAGAAACTCACACAACAAACTACTCAACTAGAATGGGTAGAAAAGAATTTTCTTCCTGAAAGTACTAATATCCTAATTTTAGTAATCCTATGTATTCCTTTTCATTGTCCTCTAAATAGGTGATAAATAAGTTGTTAACATGTTTTTATTATATTTGGTAAAAATTGTAATGAGAGTAATTATTGCAGGTAATATTGTTTGCCAGTCAACTCAGATAAACCATCTATCGCAGGACTAGATGTATGTCTCTCTGTATGTCTGGATTCTGCCCTGCTTAGGATCCCCCTTGTGGGGCAGACAGCTGGCAATGGTCCCAATTTGTCCACACCTCCCTGTAACCAAGCTCTGAGTAGTCCTCTCCTACACTGACTCTGGACTTGACCACGTGTCTTATTTTGGCCAATAGGACAGTAGCAAATATGCAACAGCAGAGACTTAAGAGGTGCTTGCCCTTTGGGGCTTTTCCTGATGTCCCTGGAATCCTGTAACCACCCTGTGAGAGAGCCAGGGCTGGCCTGCTGGAAGATGAGCGACCCATGTCAACCCAGACAAGGCAGCCCACCTGACTGCAGATGCCTGAGCGACCCCATCTGAGCTCAGCCAAGCCTACCTCGGACCAGAGCCACCACCCAACTGGGCTCAGCCTTAACTGCTGCCCCACAAAAAACTACTGTCCCTGAGCTCAGTAGACGGTTGTTATATTAAGCTGCTACGCTTTGGAGTGGTTTGTTACGGGGCAGTAGGTAACTAGTCCACATGCCCTCAGCCTTCTTTCTGACACAGCCAACTGTCTGAAATCCAACTGTCTGTCTCTCTGCCTCTTTCTGAGGTGCCAAGAACTCCTGGGGAAAATGCACACAGCCCTGCTCCAGACTCCAACACAAAACCTCAAGTATTTGATGTGGACCATCTTCCCTTTCTCCTCAAACTGCTCTGTTCCCTTAGCTTCTCGGATTCCACTCTTGCTTTGTTCTTCTCATGCCTTTCTTCCTGACACTTTTTGGTCTCCTTTGCTGATTCTTTTTCATCATCTGGGCCTGCAATCATTGCAATGTCCCAGGCGTCAGCTCTTAGACCTTTTCTCTACCTCTGCTTTGGTAGGAGATCCCATCCAGATTCTTGGCTTTACATATGTAAACACCGACCACTGCCTCATCCACATTTCTACCCTGGACCTCTGCTCTGAACTGTAGACTCATGCGGTTAACTGAGTTCTCAACACCTCGCTTACATGCCCAATGGGCATCTCAAACTTCATATCTAAATTCTTGATTGTCCCCTACAAAGTCTTCTCCCATACAATACGTGGCAAATTCATTCCTCTACAATACAATAGGCTCTTAGCAAATCCTGTCAGCTCTTTCTTCAAAACATCTCTAGAATCTATCCGTGCCCCAGACCACTATCTCTCAAGGGGACTAGAATAGCCACCTAGCAGGGCTGCCTGCTCCTACGCTGTTTCTCTATAGTCTGTTTTCTGCACAGCAGCCTGAGTGAGCATTTAAAACAGCAAGTCACATTACGTCATTGTTCTTTCCAAAACCCTCCAATGACTTCTGATCTTCATTCACAACAAATTCCAAGTCCTGACTTTGGTCTAAGAGGTTTGACAGGATCAAACTTCAGGCATGTTCTCCGACTAAGCTTCAACCCCTTCCTCCGAGGTTGAACACCAGTCTCTTTGGCCTTCCTGCTCTCCTTTGTACAAGTCCAAAGTACTGTCTCTGGGATTTGCACATACTGTTTCAGCTTCCTCTAGATAGCCTCAAGGCTCACTCATCATTTTAATTGGGTCTTTGTCAAATGTCACTCCATCACCGAGGCCTTCCCCAGCTTCCTGCTAAAATAGCATCACCTTCCCTCTGTCCATCTCTCTATCCTCTTACTATGTTTTGGTGTTCTTCATACTCATCACCACTCGACCTACTATCTATCTATTTGTGTTTGTTTATTGTCTATCTCTCCCCACCAGACTGTAAGCCCCACAAGAGCAACAATTTTTTTGTCTTGTTCACTGCAATATCCCCAGTGCCTGATACACAACAAACAATGAATACATATCTGTTAGGTAAAGGGAAGGAAAGAGCGAAGGAGGCTGGAAGGATGTAGCTTTTCCAGCTATTGCAGCCTCGGGGCAAGGGAGAAGGGGGCTGGCAATGGGAGTTGGTTTAGCAGGCCAACAGGGCTTCCCATGGGGGTCTTTACCTCTTTATGAGGCCACTGCTAAGTCCTTATAATAAGATAATGAGTCTTCTGGCCTAACCTCTCCCATCTATCTTCCACAATACCACTTGCGTCATCTTTCTCAAGTACAGGCTGGACATTACTGTCTTCCTAAGAACTTGAGGTGGCTCACCATTGGCCAGAGCATAAAGGTCAAACTCCTTAGTCTGGAAGTTAAAACCCTCCACGATTTTAATCTATCTTCTGCTGTTATCCTTCACTACATTCCAGTCCCTGTGAACTCTAAACTCCAGGGACACCTGCCATTAAGTGAACGTACCTGTCCCTTCTCTCCTGGCTCTTGCAGACTGGACGCCTTTATCTCTTCCCACCTATCGATGCTCCTCTTACCCTTCAAGGCCCAGCTAAAACTCAGCCTCCTCCACAACACCCCTCCTCACCAGAGTCAAGTTCTTATGCCTCTCTTTCCCGTTACACTTTGTTCAGACTCGCCTGCAGGTGCCTGCATATCCTGCTTGGTGTTCCAGCTATTTCTCTCTGTCTCTCCAGTATGAGATCCTTGGGGTCAGGAAACAATTTTAAACCCCTTTGTAGTCCTCCCAACGCATGTCAACCTACTGTGTTCATAGTAAAAACTCAATAAATGGTTTTGAACTAAAATCCTAAACCACTGAGGAACTTCCAGATAAAATACAACTACATGTGCTAAATCAAAAGAACCACTTTTAAGATAAGTTAAAATATGTAAGTGCAATGTCGGTGCCAAATTTATTTTCGCAAATGTAAGAGCTAAAGCTCCACTGTTGTGGTTGATCTGTGATATAAAATCTTACGCAGAGTGGCTCACAAGAAGCAGGTAGTGTGACTCTCCCCATCTCCTTTGGTCTCCTTTTCAAATATTCACAATGAGCAGGAAGGGGGGTTTTCAAAGAGAACAGTGGAATTAACTTGAGGGCTTTGGCTCCTCTCACCAGCAATTATTTCTCCTGCTGACACAGAGAAGCAGAAGTGGGCCCCCTGCCTACCTCTTTCTGGTTTCCGTGGACTTGGCTGTCTTGATGGTGCTTCCGTCCTGGACGACGTCCCTTTCCTGCAAAGCCGGAGCATCTCTGACGGGCAGTGGGAGGACCACCGTCTCCTGGGTCACGGGGATGACCTCCTCGTCCGCCCCTTGCTGGCCCAGGTGCTGTTTGGCGTAGTCAAAGCCTTGCACAGGCTGCAAAGAGGAAACAGATTTGCAGTCGTCTTTCTAGCACAAATGCCTCTAACCATGGCTTTGAGAGAAGACAGGCGGGCAAGTGCAGGTGTCAGGACCATGCTCAGCTTTCTGATAAATAGGGGTTTTCATCTCCACCATAATTCGTCTCTGCAAAATCAGATTCCATGGTAACTTCACCTAGCTTCAGACTCTCTATAGATAAGACTTACTCAGAAAAATGAATAGTGAAAACAAGATGCAAAAAATGTGTGTGAGAACAAACTTCATGCGGGGATTTTAGACCACTAATTTTAAGTCTCTGGATATGGCTAATGGGAAACTGTCCATTGGTATGTTGAACAGGTCCTGTATCCTCTCCTACCTAGGGATGTTCTGCCATCTCTTAGCTCTTGTGCAATAATGGGTGTGTGACTTTGCCAAGTCACTTGAACATGGAACCTCAATTTTCTCATCTGAGAAATGAAGGTAATCCTATCTGTTCTGCCTCCACCACCCTGAGTATTAAAGTGGAATCACAGCTCTGCAAACAGAGGGAAAGAAACATGCCACCACATGGAATTTACGGACACACTATTTAATCCAGACTCTCCCTTAAGCAAGTTGGTTCTCCTATAGTTCATGACTGGGAAGTTAGCAAGGCTTTTACTGTACAATGTCTGAAATCCCAAGTGAAAAGGGCAGCTGTGAGCAAAACCCAACAGACATCTATTGGTGGAGTAATGAAAAACCCAGAGGCTTGTTTAAACAATTCCTGGGAGGGTCTCTATTCTGCTTTACACTCCAAAGCAGCACAATGCAGGTTTGAGGTAGAATAATGGGGTGGTTCACAGCAACAGCTCTGAAAACAGACTGCCTGGGTTCTGCCACTTATTAGCTGGATGACCATGGATACGTTACTGAAATTCCCTGCACACCAGCTTCCTCATTGGTAAAACGGAGATCATAATAGTGTAACAGGACACCATGTGTATGGCTGTGAGAGTGATAGGCAACATCTTCCAGGGATGCTGTGTGGATTAAGTAAGTAAATTCAAGCGCAGCATTTAGCTAAGTGCCTGGCACATAGTATCCATTCGATTGATATTATTCAATATCGTTTGCCTTGCTACTAAATCTCAGTCCAGGTGAAATGGACACCAGTGATTCTCTTCAAGAAAAATGTAGGGATGAAACCAACCTCCACCATTTGGGTTCTACCAGAACTTGATATGATCAGAAGTTCTTCCTTTGGCAGCTAATTTAGTTGAGAAATATTAACAGGAAGGTTCTAGCTAGATTTAATGGTTTAGGACTGTGGCCCAACTGGTAAAATCTTGCACAATTCTTTTTTCTTTTGCATTTCGGTTGCATTTTTACCTTTCTTGAACTAACAAAGCATTATATGCAGAAAATGTTGCTTATTTTCTTCCATCTTCAATATTAATATGGTTACACAAAAATTCACCAATTTTGATGTTTTTTTAATGTACCCTGATGTGACAGCTGTCACATTACAATCTAACAAAACTGTTTTGAATGAAGTTAAAGATGGCTAAGCCCTACTAGAACCAACTTATGGGGGGGAAAAAAAGAACAAACTTTTTGGCCAACTCAATATTTCCCTTAAACCATATCAGGGCATTAGAAATGATTTATGACTCCTAATCACTACAACAGCAAGGCACTCAAGGCCCTCCAAGTCCTGGCTGAACCCACCTGCTCAGCCTCATCTCCTGCTGACCTCTTTTCCCTAATACCCCAAGCTACCCATTATCCTGTTTGATTTTGTTCCAACTATAGTTATTGAGCAGTGGCTTGTGCCAGGGACTCTGCTTGGTGTTGGAGATACGAAGGTGAGTGTAACTGGTCCCCAACCATCAAGGGCCTCACTGCTGCAGCGTCACTTGATATCACTGGTACAGTACCAAACACATTACATAAACCTGTCATTTCATCCTCACTACCGATCAAGGAGGGAGGTATTATTATGGAGATGAAGATGAAGAAACTGAGGTTCAGAGAGGTTAAGCAACTTCCCGGGACCACACAGCTGATCCGTGGAGCCAGAAACTAACTTCTGCTGATGATTCTTCCCACGGTCTCTCCTTCCCTTCTGCTGTCTTGGTTGGGCATTTCCTACCGTATTTGGCCTTGCTTCTGCGCTCAGACTCCTGGCATATCAGTGAGGGACTGGGAGTCTCCAATGGCAGCTAAGACTTCCCAAGAACCTAGTGAGGAAGACAAGCTGGCTCTGGCCCCAGACCCACCTCCAACTCTCTCTCCTTTGGCTCCTCACCCTTACATGGGGCTGGAGTCCCCTGCTGGGTACTGCAGGGGCTGGGTCGAGGATGGGTAAGCAGAAGTAACGGTCTCTGCATGTGTTCAGTACTTAGAGCCTGCAAAACGATGACCTCATTTTGTCCCCACAGCAACCCCATGAGGCAAGCAGGGCACACACCACAGACTTCATTTCACAGGTGAGGAAACAAGAGCTTAAAGAGGTTCAGTGACTTGCCCAAGATCACGCAGCAAAGTGGTGAAAGACTCAAGACTGGTCCCTTATTCTTCTGACTGACAGGGCAGTGGTCTTTCACCCTCTAACTTGAAAATTGCCTGAGATTAATTAATTGCTCACTAGACACAACTAGTGACGCCCAGCCCCACCAGTATATTGTCATGAAGTATTTAGAGTTCCTTCAGTGAGTTTTGTAAAACTATTCAATCAAATTATCTCAAATAATTTCAAAAGTAGAAATGTCACCCAGATCTTTTAAGAAGAGAGCATTGTAATAATAAAAGCCAACTTGGATATAGCATTTCTTCTATATCAGGCACAGCTCAAAGAAGTTTATGTAACTCAATCCTTACCACAACCTATCAGCCTGCTTTCACAGATGGGAAAACTGAGGCAGAAAGAGGTCACGTAGAGGTCATACAGATAGGATGTGAGAAAGAGGAAACAGTGGGCATCTTCGGGGGTGACTGGCCTGTCCTGACCAGTTGGCCATGCCCACCACTGCAGGCCCCCCGAGCTCTGTGTGCATCCTGATATGGCCCTACCTAGTGTTCCCTACGATCTCCTGCTCTTGGGGGCCACGTTCTCTTCAATTATAGGAAGAGAACAGCAGGGAAAAGGATGTGAATTCAATGACAAAGAGTGAAGAGAAGTGAACTAGGAAGAAAGGAGGTAACTGACTGGCCCTCCTGCGTTTATCATCTTCCCGACATTTGGCCTGCAGGAGCCACGCTGACAGCAGTGGTATCTGGGCCTTGTCTCTGAAGAGGGGTGTGGGCTCACATGCCCTGGCCTCTGCTTCTAGGAGAGCCACACCCATCTCCTCTTAGCCTGTTAAGTCTCTTACTGAGTGTCAGCCAGGATCCCAGGATGTCCCCTGGCACTGCAGCCTGTGTTCTAAAGATACAGTGATGTCCCAGGAGACCAGGAGACTGTCCTCTTGGTCTATGCATTGGTGGCAAGAGCTAACTTTTCCATTCCGCCTTGTCCCTTGTCATTCAATGAATTCTGCTCCCACATAGAGGTCGTGAGGAGTGATGTAGGTGGCCTTCCTCTCACAAACCACAACACAGAAGGCTGTAGTAAGAAAAAGTCCCACCCTGCTGGTTTCCTTTGGAAAAAGGGCTTTGGCAATCAAAGTGCGTAGCCCAGCCTCATTGAGGAAGAAAATAACGAGCATCACCACATACAAGTGAATTCAATCATCTCATGCAAAATAAAGTTGCTCGATTTCCAACACCAGCCAGGTATCTCCCAAAGCACAATGCACCAGGCAGGAACATTAAAAAAAGCTATGAGAACCCACAAACATTAATCTGTTCCAGCTGCTGATAGCTTTCAAGCCAGAAGCTATGCTGAAATCAAGTGCTGGCCAACTCACCTTGGCAAATTCATAAAATTCTGGCTTAATCTATAACACAAAGATGGCATTTACAACCTCAGTATGGCGTGTTTTGCATTCCTGGACCAGGCTGCAATTAGATTTTGGTGATTACTACTGTGTCTGAAAGGCCCAGGTTGTAAGTAAGCTCAGATGGAAACGAAATGCCCCTGCTTGGAACAGTTTCACTTTTCACTGCTTGGGTAATTACCAACATCGCCATGAGTCTGGGAAGCGGGTGGCTCTGTGTCAACAGAAACAGAACGACATTCTTTGGGGATTGGCTGTTCAGTACACAGAGTGTCTATTCAGGCTGCAGCTTCTCAACAGGAGGATTGATTTAATAAACAATAAAATTCATTTGATTTCTTTTGCTGAAGTGAGGGGTGATCACCCAGAAAGAATGAGGCATGCGTGACTCCCAGCAAGAATGATCTCCATGACATGCCTTCCAGTGGACATGAAATTCCAGTCACTGTTCCATTCCTGTACAGAGGGACAAAGTTCAGGGGTTCAGGGCTGGAAGGGGATTCTACCTGACAAAGCTCAGGGATCAGAGAGGTGTAGTAAGTAGGAAGATCCCAAAGCTTCAGACGGAGGCTGGAGTCAGCCCCCTGCTGACAGTTCTGTGATTTTGATCAAGTCCCATAGTCTCGGTTTCCTTGGGGTTTCTGAGCAATAAAATAATGAAACCTTCCCTGACCATGACCTAGGAGAGCCCAGCAAATTGTAAGGCATTCTTTAAATATCAGGTATTATAGATGACTGCATTTTTTACGGAACATCATGGAGGGAGCCATGTGACTGGAAAATGAGCCTTTGGAATTTTCTCAGTCCATTCCCCAGAGGTGACTGGGGCAGTGGAGGCTGTGAGAGTGGATGGGGCTCCTGGCCAGGCTTCACTGGAGTCCCTGGAGTGTGACAGCAGACTGGCCAGGGCTCTCTGCAGCTTGCCATCATGGCAGCCTTTGAAAGTGAGCCACTCTCCTGCCAGTGAAGCAGGAAAATTCTGATGGTCTGCAGTGCCTCAACAGCCCTGTGTTATGAGCCAAGAAACCTAATGCTACTATCAGTTCTGCTACTTACTAACCGTGCGATCTAAAGGAGTCATTTCTTAGTAAATGGAGGGAGTCAGATTAGATCAAAGCCCCTTTTAGGTCTATCTAGTTTTCTGTGCTTTGGTTTCCTCATCTGTAAAATAAGGGCCCTTCCTCAAAGGGGTGCCACGAGGACTGAGTTGCTGTCTAGAAAGCACTTAGAAGCATTTATGGCAAAGAGTGAGCATGAGCTAAGCAGCAGCTATCACATCCTGATTGTAAAAGTGAAGGGTGTACAACCAAGTGACTGTACTTATCAACACTGAACTGTACACTTTAAAATGGTTAAAATGGTAACCTTTGTTATGCATATTTTACCATAAATTTTTAAACATTCAAACACATAAGTTAATAAACAAAGGTACTCCAAGCAAATGAGCACTCGTTAGGATGTTTCTGAAGGTACTTGCAACGTCTCCAAAGCCAAGAGAGAAAAGGCAGACAGAGCCGGGGCCCCCGTTCCTCTCCGCCTGCTTCTGCTGCGTACCTTTGCCCTCTGAGGCAAGTTCATCACGGTGTCCGGCTTGAAGTCGTTCTTGTTCTTCCGGCAGAGCACAGCAGTGATGATGATGATGATGACCGTGACCACAGCGATGGGCGCCAGCACTGCGGCGATGATCCACAGGTTGTTGGGTGGGTTCTTCACCACGGCTGCAGGGAAGAGCCAGCGGGAAGCACATGACAAGGGGCACTGGGAAGGGAAAAGGCCACCAGGGACAAATCCCCCCCAGTCCCAAGTCATGAAATGGGCAAGAGGGTTTCGGAGTAGAAAGGCTCTTGCACTGGGTAAGTGACTCAAGGTCTCTGAGTCCCAGTTTCGTCATCTGTAAACCGAGCTATCACATCACGAGGCATCCGTGAGATGAGACACATGTGGTGCTTTGGGAGGTGCTCAGTAAAATGCCAGCCTTCGCGATCACTACGAGGAGGAGGAAGATGGATACGTATGAGCTTTCCTCATTGGTGATGTCCATGAGTCGAGGGAAGAGAAGAAATCTGAGGACTAGAGTGGTGCTGGAATGAGGAGGCAAAGGCCACAGAGAGAGATGAATCTATAGAAGGTCGTGATGTCACCCTCTGAGTGGGCAACAATTAAAATGTATTAATGGGTGGAGACCTCCCTCCCGCCTCCCCAGATGGCTTGGCTGGGGAGCTTGGATATGCCTTGGTCTAATCAAAAGGGTCAGGCTGTTCTCAGAACTCAAGTAAAGAAAAGAGAACAGAAGCCAATGTCAGTAGGAAGAATGCACTATTAGGATAGTAGGTGCCTCCAGGGGTGAGGCCGGAATTAGCTAACCTGCAAAGGATGACAGTGGGATGGTCATGTAGGGCTGGCATTGCCCAGGTGTCTACATTCGTCAGCACTCATCAAATGAGATACATAATTTTGTGCACTTCACTGCATGTAAATTTTACCTAAAAACATCATAAATAATTGACCTCAAGGCAATGATATGCATGCTGAAGTGTGTAGGGTTGAAGTCTACAGATGTTTGCAACCTTGAAATGCATAAGAAAAAAGATGGATAAATGGATGAATGGAAGGATACATAAATGAACAGATACGTGATAATAAAAACACAGTAAAATGCTCATTGTGGATTCTAGGTAATGAGAACATGGGTGTTCACTATATGATTCTTTTCAGAAGTTGGGTTAGAAAAATATAAGAAAAAGGAAAAAGACCCTGACGTGAGATGAATGAGAGCCCCCTATGATCACTGGTAGGGGGAGGGGAAGCTTGGAAAACACTTTGGTTCAATCAATAAGTTCTTAGAACCAAAATAAAGAAAACGGTAAGCAAAGCAACTGTCTGTAGGAAGGCATTAATAGAAGGAAGTGGAGTCTGCAAAAAAAATCTAGAGAAAGAGAACCGAAGGCCCAGCAAGGACTTGCCCACACCAGCAGAACATGCCCTGACTGGCAAATGTGGATAATCCAGACGGGCGGCAGGTCTATCCTGGTGGACAAGGTCACGGGCGCCTGGCTGTGGCGGCTTGCTGACACTGTCCATTGACACGCCCAGGCACGCTTCTCTACACTCCCTAGATGATCTCACAGATTTCAAATACCATGTACGTTCTGATGATGCTCATTTATACCTGCATATATCTAACCTCTACCCTGAACTCTAGATTCCTACACTCAACTGCTAGTTCAACCCTCCAATTAGATATCTCAATTTAATATGTCCAACAACCTCCCCCAAATTCCCCTCACCCCCAAACCTGTTCTTCCTGTGATATTCTCCACTCCAATAAATGGCAACTTCTCCCTTCCAGTTTCTCAGGCCAGTAACTTTGTTATCAGTCTTGGCCCTTCTCTTTTCTCTCACCAAATGTCCATTCATCAACAAACCCTGTCGCCTCCATCTCCAACACACATTTAGGGTCTGTTCACTTCTTTCCCTCACTGCTGCTTTCACTGTGGCTCAGACCACCCCGTCTCTCCCCCGAAGCATTACTCAGTGGCCTCCTACCTTGTTCCCTGTTCCCTGTGGTCTATTTGTAACACAGCGGCTGGAGCGATACTTTAAAGATTTTTATTTTTAGAAGAGAGGGGGAGGGAGTAAGAGAGGGAGAGAAACATCCATATGTATTTGCCTCTCACGTGGCCCCCACTGGGACCTGGCCCACAACCCAGGCATGTGACCTGACTGGGAATCAAACCTGTGGCCGTTTGGTTTGCAGCCCATGCTCAACTCACTGAGCCACACCAGCCAGGGCCTGAGTGACACTTTAAAAACTTAGATCACAATACTCCTGCTCAAACCCTCTGGAGTGAGAGCCAGAGAGTCCTCAGAACTTCTATGAGGACCCTAAGTGACCTGCCCCTCCAGCCACCCCAGTCTGGCCTGATTGCCCGGTGCTCTTCCCTTAACTCGCTCTGGCCTCCTACTGTTCCCCAAATGCGCCAGACATGCTCCTGTCTCGGGGGCCTTTGCCCTGGCTGGTTCCTCCACCTAGAACATTCTTCACCTAGACCTCCACATGGCTTCCCAACTCAGTTTCTCGGGCCAAGGCTCTGTCATCAGTGTTGACCCTTCTCTTCGGGCTCTGAACAGGTCGCCCTACCTGTGGGGCCGTCCCCGTACTCCATAGGAAATAACAATCCCCGCCAGGCACTCTCCACCCCCCTCACCCCACTCATTTTTTTCTCGAAAGCAGTGCTTCTGAAATCCTCATGTGCGCATCCATCCCTGGGATCTGATTCCTGTGGGGTGGGGTGGGGGGCCTAGAGTCTGCCTTTGAACGAGCTACCAGGTGGTACCCACGCAGCAGATACCCAGGCCACACTCGGAGTGACAAGGCTCTGAGGCACTTATCACTCCCTGACATGATTCCCATGTCCTCTGTCACCCCTGGCCCTTGTATCAGAATATACAGTCTAAGAGGGCAGGAAATGTCTGTCTCTTATTTACTGCTTTATCTGCAGGGCCTAGAATAGGGCCTTGCACACAGTAGGTGTTTAATTAAAAGCTGAATGAATATGTAAATGAACTATCATTACCCCTGTTACAATTTGGCTCCCCATACAGATTTTCATACAGGATAGAGTAATGGGCAGTTAAAAGAAGCACCATCTCCTTGGTAGTTCCAATTCATATTTTAAATGAATATCCTGCCAGTCTGGTCTATGTATCAGTATCTTGGTACATCTGGTTAGCATGAGTTGGTTCTCCTGACTCTGCTGGACTCTGTGAGCTACCAGACTGGCAAAGCTGAGGACCAGAGTCTGGAATATAAAGATCGCACTGGTGAGTGCCCCATGGTGAGGACCTGCGTGGGGAGCCAGTTCTGTCTCTCTGACTTCAACGCCCCTGACTTCACCTGGCACCTCGGTCGCCGAGATCGGCCCCTCATCAGGCAGTGCTTAGATCTGGAGTGCTCTCGGTACAAAGAATTTCTTTATCCCAGTTTTTGTCAATTGGTGATTAATCACATTATTAACTTCTGAAAACACCTCATTAGATGGCGTGCTTCTGTTGACATTAAGCATTTAATTGCTCCTGCTTTTAGTAATTTGGTATTTATATGTGAGTTTTATGCCTTCAACATTTTCCAAAGCTCAGACCTGCTGTGAAAAATATGAATATGCCTCTTCGTGGCTGTGCTAGTCTATCCTGATAAAGAAAAATGTACAGTGTATCACAACATGATACCCTAAATATATATCGATTCTTTTCATTAGCAAGAATGAAATATTTACACATGTCCTGCTTTTACTCAGCTTTATTGTTTCGGTGGATGTGTTCCTTCTTGGTGCCATCTGTAAAATCCTTCCACCTCTATTTAAATGAGGAGAGAATAGATTCACCTCAGGTACATTAATAAATTCATTTTAACAGTCAAAGAGAGAGTAGAGTTAGGCCAACGGAAGTCATCCAAACATAATATATTCATTGGCATAATGATCTGAAACTACAAAGTCATGGGCAGAGGTGAAAAAAACGTTTGTTTAATTTGCAAGAATTGCAGCAGAGGAAGGACAAGAAAAGGAGACAACATGTTCTGGACACCCACTGGGCGCCGGGCACTGCGACAGGCCCCTGGCCCGGGTGCTGTTCTGATCCCCAACGTGCAGCGAGCAGCCTGAGCCCCGGGGAGGTTTGCTGCTTCTGTGGGAAATCATTCTCGGACACACACGGTCGAGGACAGTTCTGAGTTGACACAGACGAGTGGAAGTGTGCGTGTGAGCACACCACACACACACACACAAATGCTTGTCAGAAAGAATGAAGTCACGCATTCACATCACCTAAACCAAACAGAAACTATTCTCACATGGAACAAATGTTGAAGGAGAGAAAGCCATTTAAAAATGTCTCCGGCTCCTTTTTTGTGGCTGTCACAACATCAGAGGGTGTGACGGTGCGAGTGGGCAGGTAGGAGGCCCTGAGGCTGGCACGTGCGTGGTGTGTGTTGCTCTCCTGCCCAAGGTGCCCGCCCGTGGCTGTCACCCCTCCTGGGGTGTGGCTGTGAGGCTCCTGTGCTTGTGATCCCTCCTCTGTGCCTCAGACCTCCTTGCTGCAACCCTCAGCGACTTCCTTGCTGGTCTCAACCCCCACCCCCGCCTGGAACCTTGTCCCCAGATAGCCTCAGGTGGTCACGCAAAAGTTACTGCCTCAGTGAGCCTCTTCTTCACTCTCCACCCCCACAATTTAAAATCATGACCAGCATCTCTTTGATGCCCACTAGCCCTTCCTGCTTCATTTTTCCCCAAGGCACATATTAGCATCTAATATGTTATTTATTTTATCTGATCTGCCCACTCAGAAATGTAAGCTCCATGTGGGTGGTTTTGTCTTTTTCATTCACTAATGTATCTCCAGTGCCTAGGACAGTTCCAGGCACATAGTAGGTGCTCAAAAAGTGTTTGTTGAAAAAGTGAATGCACACACATTCCCTTCACCAAAGGGTCAGTCTATTGCTTTCTGTAAATGGATTTTTTAAAGATTTATATTTATTTCCAGAGAGAGGAAAAGGGAAGGACAGAGGGAGAGAAACATCAGTGTGTGGTTGCCTCTCACATGTCCCCCACTGGGGACCTTGCCCTCGACCCAGGCATGTGCCCTGACTAGGAATCGAACCAGTGAATCAAAGGTTGGTGTTCAATCCACTGAGCCATAGCAGCCAGGGCTATAAATGGTATTTTTGAGGTAAGTGCCTGATGGCCATGCTCTGGTCTGGTTCTGTGTGGGGAGAATTGTTTTTCTGCTACATTGGCTACATAAACACTATAAAGAACCTCTTACTCCAGATCCTGCAAAAGGAGCGGATGGGAACCTTCATAGGAGACACAGCCACCTCTTTAAAATTCACTGCTGCCTCATTACCTAGAAGTGATGGGGTCAGGCAGCACTGCACACCCCACTGTAGGGCACTGCACACAGGGTCGTGCACGCTGGCCCCAGACCTGGAGATTTACAAGACACTGGAACACACAGAATGTTATCCTCACCCCACCCCCGCCCTTCAGAGAAACAAGGTGTTCGTTCCACACTGACCCTATTCCACGTGCTGACCTCAGACTCACTTGCAGGCTGATTTTAAAACTATTAGGAGAAAATGGGATTGGCAACATCTCTGTTCCTCGTCCTCTCCATTGGATTCCGTTTCTTTTCCATCGGATCCTGGGCAGGGAGGCACTTCCCAGGGCCTGTCCTCCAGCTATGCTCTCTCTCCAGAATTTTCTCCAGGATTTTAACTGTAACTTGCATCTACAACATTCTCAAAAATCTGTTGTGTTAACTTTAACCTCTCCCTTGAGATTCAGACTTGAATTCCAACAACTCTCTTAACTTCAGTCCTCAATATCCCATTGGCACCCCCCTCAATATGTTTTTAAAGATTTTATTAATTTATTTTTAGACAGAGGGGAAGGGAAGGAGAAAGAGAGGGACAGAAACATCAATGTGTGGTTGCCTCTCACACACCCCTACTGGGGACCTGGCCCACAACTCAGGCACAGGCCCTGACTGGGAATAGAATCAGGGACCCTTTGGTTTACAGGCTGACAGTAAATCCACTGAGCCACACCAGCCAGGGCTCAGTTATTTCTATCAGTGCCCCCTCAATATGCAAATAGCACCCCTTAATAATCTCATCATTTAAAACTTGACATGGTCCAGAAGAAATAAATTACCTCTCCCTCCTAAAAATGCTTCTCCTCTCCAATCCTCTTTCTATTTTCATTAATAGCACCCTATTCTGTGAATTGCATGGGTTCTTAACCTTCAAATCACCTTTCCTTCTTCATTCTCTCTCTCCTTTAGTCCTTTTACCTTATGGGTAAATGAGTCATTCAACTGTCCCTTACTAAGTACTTAATAGGAGCCCCAGGACCGTACTAAGCCCCTTACATAAAATAATTATCTTATTCGGTCCTCTAAGTATCTCTATTAGGTCTGTTTTTTAAATATTACCACTTTACAGACAAGGAAAATGAAGGCAAGAGAGGGTATTCATTCGTCTCTGAGCTCCACAGCTGCAAAGTAGAAGAGCAAGGGCGTGAATCCAGGTCCGTTTTATTGCAAAGGCTATGCTCTCCTCTGCTCTCCTTGGGTGTCTTCCTATCATGTGCCTCCCTCGGGGACTGCCAGAGACACTTAACAAAGGTCGATGGTTTGCCTTTACAAGAACAGAGCCAGACAGTAGTTGGGGCTGGACATTAAAAGACAAATGAGATGTGGTACCTGCTTTTAAAGAGCTCAAAGGTCAGTCGTCTGCTCATTGTGATAAGGGTGATGGAGGCTTTTGAAACTAAGAAAGATTTGGGGGTGTCTGTTTCAGGGGTCGAGGAAGGCTTCAGAGGAACAGCAAACATTAGGGGTGAACACTCCTGTGTGGCTGTAAGATCAGAATCTGTGTGTTTTCCAAAGTGTTGATAATGACTCTAATACAATTACATAATGGCAAAACATGTACAGACAGTACATAACGGCAAAGTGACTGAGGTTATTTGGAAAATACCTGCAAAGTCCGAGAAGGCATAATAATGAAATGGAGAAGAGGGAAGATATCTGTGAGTTATTAAACAAGGGAACTGAGAGGACCATGTGGGTTTGGAGGAGACCAAAAATGAAGGCTGAGGGACAGCAGCTGTGCAGCTGGGCAGAACAGGGCCTGGCTTCTGTCTCTGAGTCATAATCGAGCCTCCGGGAAAACCCCCAGGTGATCCCTGGCTCCGTGCATCTTCTAATATGATACGATCTCTCTCCTACCCATGCTCTCAAACTTTCCACCGTTCCCCTTCAACCACCTGCAATAAGCTCCCCTTGGCCTAACCACTTCCCCTGATACTCCATTCACCTCTTGCTCCGAATAAAGCCAGCTCTCACCTTTCTGTCCCTTCCCAAGCACCACCAGGCCTCAGGTAGAAGTGAGGAGGCCCCAGAATGAGAGATCAAAGTAGAGGATGGACTGGAACAGGGAAGCACTGTAGAAGAGACAGTGAGCCAGCAAATCTCCAGCAAATGAATCACATTATGTACAGTCTCCTTCTGCCAACCAAGGCCTGGCTCTTTCATAATACTCCTCTCTAATCCCATCAACTCCTCCTCAAGTTTCTGCACTCCAGGCAATTTGAACCCCTTGTTTTTCAAGCACACCCAGTACTCTTTGCTTCTATTCTTTTTATGCCTCTCCCTCTGTCTGGAATACATACCTTTCCTCTCCCTCTGCTGAAATCTTAGTATATAACACAGTTAAGAACACATTCGCAGTCAGGCAGATCCAGATTCATATCCTGGCGATCTAGGTACTAGTTTGCAATACTGACCAAGTTAGTTAACTTTTCTGAGCCTCGGTTTCCTTGTCGGTAACTTGGAGCTCAATAAAGTTGCCCTAATGAGCAGAGAAAGTGAGAACATCCATGTAAAGCAATGAGTACAGCAGCTGCCAGGGAGGAGGGTATTCAAAGGGGCAGCTATTACTTTTAACATCCTCTCTCCGTTCACTCTTCCCAGATGCCCTTCAGAGTAAACTCTCCCTCTGCCAACCCCTGTATAACACTACCTCCTTGTGGCACTTTCCTGCAGTCCACTCTTCTGTATTCGCATTAACTCCCTCTCTGCTCCTTAAAGGAAGGGGCAAGGCCTTGCTCACTTCTGCACCTCTTCCAGCACCAAGGCAGCAGTTCATGAAGGACTCTATGCATGCTGATGAATCAAATTATCTTTCATTCCCCAGACAACAAATATGATCTCAGCTATAGTTATTATTTTTTTTAATATTTTAAGTTTTTATTTACTTATTTTTAGAGAGAGGAGAAGAGAGGGACAAAGAGAGGGACAGAAGCATTGATGTGTGAGCAATATATTGAATGGTTGCCTCTCACATACCCTCAACTGGGGTCCCAGCCCAAAACCCAGGCATGTGCCCTGATAGGGAATCAAACTGGCAACCTTTCGTTTGCAGGCTGACACTCAATCCACTGAGCCTCACCAGCCAGGGCAGCTATGGTGATTTTTTTAGCTATTCACTAGACTATAATGAGGAGGAGGAGTGGGTAGGATTTGGGCATAGCAATGATCATTAACATCTTTCTAATACTCAAAACCTATCCCTTACCCCAAACTTATTGCTTCAAACACAGCTGATTGATTTAAAAACCTTCTAGGACAGAAATATGCTTAGCTCTGAGTCCATTAACAGGAGCTTAGGGTATCACTTTGATTTGCAGGAAACATTTAGTGGCATTAAGAATAAGGAATGGAAAGACTATCCCCTTACGGTCAGCTTGCAGAAGGACAACGTGATGCAAGGTCAAGGCCATCCTTTGGGAGTCAATGGTGCTCAGGATCTTGGCAGCTGCAGTCCCCAGCAAAGGCTTCCCGTTGTATAGGGTGTAGTAAGTCAGCTCCGCTGGGTCCTTGGGTCCAGGCACCCGCTGCATCTTTACCATCTTTCAGAAAAAAAGAGGCCATGTTTATAGGACATCTTGCATAGACCCTACAATCACTTGGGCAATCAGCAGGCTCTCTCCTGACTGCTGAGGCCTTCTGTGGCCAAGTGGATCCACAGCATCTATTTAAGACATCAACCTTAATGTACCTCCCCTACCACCAGAACTACAAGAAGCCCTGCTGTCGCTGGAGGGGGAGACAGGAGGGGAAGATATGGACATCTGGAAAGCACAGTGTGACTGGAGAAGAAAACGCTGAAATGGTGATGTCTTCCAGCCTCCAGAGAACTCTGCCCTCATTAGAAAATAGGCCTCCACATTAATTCAGGGCATGTCAGGTTATCCTCAAACAAGATTTCTAATTTCAAACTCCTGCAATTGCCAGAGAGGGAAAAAAATGAACTTCAATGTCTGCAATTCAAAAGATCTCTGATAAAAACAGTACCTGGAGATTCAAACTCCTTTTCTAAAATTACCTCTGTTGCTTTTTCTCACTGTACAAGTTATACATATTCACTGCAGAAAATACGAGAATACAAAAGAACATCAGGAAATGAAACAAAATAAAAACAACCTGTAATCCCTCAGCCATAAGCTAATGACTTTTATCATTTGGTGTATTTGTTTCTACTCTTGGGAGTTTTTTCCCTGCACAAACCTTTTATTTATTATTTTACCAAATTATTTATAATACTCTGTATACAGTATAACATATCACTGTTTTTACTCATATCCTGAAATGACCTTTGATACAACAAAGGCATAAGTGTTCATTTCTACATGCTAACTCACACCTCACAAACTTACTTAGCCAAGCCTTTCTAGTTAAGACACTTTAATCGTCACTTACTTTTCAGTCTAGTAACTTACAATTGGAAATCATTCCAAATACACAGAACACAAATTTTAATACTTAATCATGTTCTATTGTACGCGTGCCTCATACATTAACTAACGGTTCGTTTTTGAACATTTAGGTTACTATTAACTTTTCACTGTTATAATTAACAACTGATAGACATCATAGTACATGACAGTGTTTTTCAAAACACTGTATATTATGGATTATGAGTTTCATAGGATGTTGAAAGACATTACAAAACTGGTTATAGCAGCACTGTTAATAACAACAAAGAAAATCCCCCTGAAAATTCAAAAGTCACTAATGGTAGAACAGATAAATGAGTTATTGTATAGTTACACAGTGAAATATTATAGAGTAATGTACATGAACTCTGGCTGTTTGAGTATGAAAGCCTCACACCGAGGAAAAATATTACAGAATATAAAATTCAAAATCAGGCAAAACCAACTGATGTACTGTTTAGGGATACACACACACACAGATGGTAAAATACATGCAGAAAATTTAGGCATGATTTAATACAAAATTCAGAAGCACACTCAGCTTTAACAGAACAAACGGAAGCATGTGTAATAAAAGAAGACACATAAAAAGCTTCTGAGGTTAGATAAGAACATGTTCTTACCCTCTGGGTTGTGGGTTCTTTTTATTAGTGGTCTTTGAAGTCTACAGATTTTTACACCCCTTGGTATGTATGCTATATGTAACAATTAAAAATAGATGTTACTACAACCCAACAAAAATGGTTTTTAAAAAAATATGATCAGACAATCCACAAAGGAAGACAGTTAAACAGCCAATAACCATCTAAAATATGGTCAATGGTGAAATCCAAATTTAAGCCATGAGACACAACCATCGCCCACAAGGAGAGCTAAAATAACAAGGGCTGACAACACCAAGTGTTGATGAGAATGTACAGTAACTGGAACTCTGCATCTGGCTGGTGGGAGTATAAAGTGGTACACTTTGGAAAAAGGTCTGGCAGTTTCTTACAGAATGAACATACGCCAACCCTATGACCCAGCCATTCAACACCTATATACCCAGGAGGAATGAAAGCACATGGCCATAGAAAGACTTGTAGAACAATGTTCGTAGCAGCTTTGTTTATAACAGCTAAAATTTGGAGAAAGCCTAGGTATCCATCCACAGAAGAATGAGTAAAGTGTAGTGTATTCATAAAAGGGAATATTATTCAACAATAAAAATAAACTGCCAAAAAATACAACATGGAGGAATCTCAAAAACACTACACTGAGTCAAAAAGTTTTACGTAAAAGAGAATTTACTATAGGATTCCATTCACGTAAAGTGCTAGAACAGTCCAAACTGATCTCTGGTGTGGAGATGATATATGTGATCGAATGTAAAGCAGTGACATAGTACACACTGTTAAATGTAGAACCTAGACGGTCAGCGTGTGGGCACTTACCATACCATTTTTTCAATGTTTCTGTGAGTTTGAAAATGTTTGTAATAAAATGTTGGAGAAATGTAGATACTACTAAAAACAAGGGTCTCATTGGCATTTAAATTTTGAATCCATATATGTTGAAAGGAAATTTCTTTACTACAGGCCTTTTTAGAGTCTGTGGTTTGCCAATATGCCCTGGGAACCATCCAGAAGGGCCAAAGGATGCAGCTTTAACCCAAACCTGACCTGGGAGCCCCTCGGCCTCAGGGCAGCTTACAAGGACCATTTTCCGAACACAGTCTGAGAAATACTGTCCCCCCCCTTTTGTCTTTGTGTGTGTTTACCTCTCTTTTTTTGAAATGACCATCCACGAGTAAGTTTGTGACCATCTGAAAGGTGCTTGTCTAAACTTCTCACTTGTCATCCAGAGAGGTCATATCCATTTACTGTTTGAAAGTGCCACTTTCCTGCATCCTCATCAACACCGAAAAACTGCGTTCCTAATCTTTTGTAGGTGAAAATTTAATCTTATGGTAGTTAAAATATGCATTTCTTTAATGGCAAATGGAGTTAAACATTTAAACATGTTTGTTGGCCACACGTATATCTTCATTGGACTTTCTTTTTCAAATATATCTCCTAGAGAAATATCTTTCAAGTCTAGACCTCTAAATCTCCATACTCATGAAGGTGGCTCATCTTTTAAAATGATCAGATCCCTAAAGGAAGGCCTCTGTGTGGAAAGAAGACGTAAGTTACATGGACTGAATTTTACTTGGGAAACTTGGGCACGTTAGTCCTGTCCCTTGTGGGAGAGGACGTTAGAGAGCGTTAGTACGGCCAGGTAGGTGGTGCATGAGCTTTCAAATATCGAATAGCTTCACTCAGCTTCAATTTATTAGCAAATCCTTCTTACCAAGATTCCTCCCAGTGTAATCTACAGCCTCTGTAAATTAGGGACTGGCCACTACTGAGGCCACGCACACTGCGTACTTGGAGGAAAGGAGAGAACATCTCACTGGACCCTTTATAACACAAAGAATGCTGTTAGATTTTTAGTGTTACTAGTAACACCAGGATTGTAGGTGTTATTAGTAAATGATTCGCCTCCCCCTTCAGCACAGGCAAATCCCATTTCACTGTGCAGTGAGAGACTTCCTGTCTGTTGTTCGGAGAAGTGTGAATTATAGGGCTGGCCCAGAACCTACAGAGGCAAAATCAACCTGGCATGAGAAATTAACCCTCGTTTTACCTCAGGACAGGCTGTCACAGGCCACAAAGATGTTTGGAACTAAAGCAACATGCAATGGGACGAGGGACCAAAGTCACTGGCTATGGATGTGAGACCTGGAGTTTCCCTCAGGGGCACGATACTGATTCATGCAGAAAAGAGTGTTCCAGAAGATGGGTTGTTTGCACTTACAAGACTGCCTGGGGACGTGATCTGCAGAGAGACTGTGGTAATGCCTGTAATTTCCTTTAAAACAAGCTTTCTGTTTGTGTGATGCTATGCCTATGTGTTTGGGTTAAGTTACACCCACGATGTGGTGACTTACCAACCAGGGGTGCACACCCCAGTGGCCTTGGGCTAGATTCCAATTAGGAAGGCTATTCTGGAGTGCCCTTCCTAATTGTCATCTTGCTCAACAGAGCTTTGTTCATTAGCATAACGAACATTAGAAATGGGTTCTCTTGGTGAAATGAGGGCTATTCAAGATATGTGAATTGGCTGGAACATGCTAGAGACAGTCCCTCTCCTGCTTGAACTAGATAAAGAAGCTGGGGGCTGACAGTCAGTTACCTTCGGAAAGGGCACTGTCTTGTGTTAGGTTCCCTAGGAGCAGCCTCAGAAGAACTGAGTGCTTACAGCTTGTTTGAGTGATGCAGAGAACTGACAGGAAGGAAGGTGACACAGGGGTGGGGAGGGAGCTAACAAAGGGCGTGTCATTAAGCCACTTACCACAGCGGGTAATTAAAGCTTAGTTCTACGGGAAAGCTCTGGGAATGCTCTAAACCATATATTTCAGAATTCTCCCAGCTAAGAGACGAGGGAGCTGGGGTTCATACCCCCACCACTGGTTAATTCCCAGACACTTCCGGCACCGCGATGTGGGCAAGGTGGGTTCTGGCATCTCAAGAGCAGTCCTTCCATAAACATTCAGAGGTGGCAGCTGGTGTTGACAGAAACAGCAAGGGGACTCAGGCAGAGCACCAACAGTGTCTGCAACAGCTGCCTAGCCTAAGTTTCTGTGTGGTCATGTGTCCATTATAAACTTGGAAGGCTCTTTTTGTCAAAATTAAGTGAAAAAGGATAATAGAATCCTGCACCTGGAATACTGATTGGCGCACCTGTAGTTTCGCAGCGGAGGCGGCAGGAGGGCCTGGAAGCACCGGGAACTGGGCCTTCATCCAGCACACGGAACAGGTTGGGGAGTATCCTGTGCCTGCTTATGTACAACTTTTTGTTGAATAAATACCAGCACATGTACAGACTCTGTTCCGAGAACGCCTTTCCTTATAATCCGACAGTGAGACTGTCGAGAGAGTAGCTCTCACCCTCCTTCGTGATTGTGATGTTATGACCCCCAGCCCAGAAGGGTCAGAGCCAGGTGGATTAGATGGTGTGGTCAATCTGCGGTGTAGCTGCTGCTCCGCATGCAGCAGGACTATTAGTCTCAGGCAGCACATCGCCCCACAGTTATTAAAGACCCCAGAGGCTTCACGGACACCCACCTGAACAGTGTAGCTTCCCAGGGTGGTGGCCCTTTTAAACCTCCGGCCTTGTTGCTGGGACATCATGAACAGCTGGGCCAGGCGCTGCTCCATGACCCGGGCAAAGCTCTGGTTGTGCAGACCCACCAGCGAATTGTCCACGCCCTGCAGCACTGCGGGTACAGAAGGCAGAGGGGCGGCTCAGAGGACAGACTCCCTGCTGGCACAGAACCATAGCCACCACCATGGGCCCTACTGCATGGGAGGGCTCGGCCAGCTTCTCCTTGCTTTACCCTCACAGCAGCCCCAGGAGTTAGGAATCACTATTCACATGTTATAGGTGCTGAAAAGGGCAAGCAACTTGTCAAGGTCAGAGCCAGTAACCAGAAAAGTGAGGGTTCAAACCCAAAGCCTGGGCTCCCTCCTCTGTAAGTGTGACATGTCCAATGCTGCTGTATTAACTCCGACCCTTATCACAGGTTAGAGTCCCTGCAGGCATGCAGCCCAGATGCAGGTATGGCTAACTGGTTTTTTTTTGCTGGTTCCCACTTGGAAGCCCTGGCTCAGGGCTACGCTTATTTTTCCTTCTCAACAGCTTTACTATCTAAGCTCCATCCTGCAATGCAGCCCTTACACCTTGGCAAACCACCCTGTTCAATGTCCTCAACTCTCCCTCCCTGGCGGTCCTTTTGAGAGCCGTCCCAAAGCTGCACAGGGCCTCTCAGGCACTCTTCCATTTGAGAGCAGGGCAGCATGCCAGAAAGAAGGGGCTCTTGCCTTTGTGAAACTTTCTGCAAACCACTGGCCCTCTCTGAGTCCAAGTCCTTCTCTGTGAAAGGAAGCAGGTCTGCATCACAACAAATATACTAATGTGATCTGTCGTCAAAATGAGACAAAGTGTGTAAAGGGGCTTAGCACCAGCCCCTCTCTCCTTTTGCTGTCAACCCCCGCCCCCAGCTCCAGTCCTCCCTCCAGGTCCTTTGGGAAGCACATGTCATCCCGAATACACAAACACTGCCTTCAAACACAGCCACTCCGAAACTAAAAATGCTGAAAAGAATTCCCGTCTCAAAGAAATCAAAACTTACATGGGCTGGGAACGTAATACAATTTTTTTCACTTAACAGTTTGTTCTATCACCATCCAGCAAAGGGCCATGAATACCTCCCATCTACTGGGATATGGAAATAGCTCGGGTACAAGGAACATGTCCTCACGATCACATTCCACTCAAGGTGAGAACAAGTAACTGATGACCACAAGACACAGAGAATGACGTTTAAACTGATCAAGAGAGAAGTGAAATTCACAGCTGAGTTTCAGAAGTTACCTCCTTGATGAGATAAATGCTAAATAAACCCCAATGGAGGATACAGAAGCAGTTTTCTTTCTAGAGTCCTTGTGAGGGACTCCCAGCTCAGCTGCCAGCAGAACTCCTGCTGGCAGATAAAACGCTCCTGCACCGTCCCCACTGTGGCAGGTCCCAGAGGTCCCTGGGAGTCCCCTGACACAGTCTGCCTCGTGGCTCCAGACAGGAGAGCCCGTGGTCTTGATAATCCAGAGATGCCCCTCTGGTAAAGTTATGCAATCAACTACTGAAGGACTACTTCTAAGTTGGCCTCTCCTGGCCGATGAACAGAGTAAGAGAGGAGACAGGGGACATCGAGGGCATCATCAAGAATTGATTACTGCCCTGGCTGGTGTAGCTCAGTGGATTGAGCGCGGGCCTGTGAACCGGAGGATTGAGGTTCGATTCCCAGTCAGGGCACATGCTTGGGTTGCAGGTCAGTTCCCAGCAGGGGACGCATGAGAGGCAACCACACATTGATATTTCTCTCCCTCTCTCCTTCCCTTCCCCTCTAAAGATAAATAAATAAAATCTTCAAAAAAAAGAATTGATTACTTTATGGGAATCCCAGTGATGGCTCAAGGGCAGACACCAAAGACAGGGAGAGCCAGAGCCCCTAGCTGATAGGAAAGTTCTGGAAGTAGATAGCAGTGACAATTGTACAACACTGTGAATGTATTTAATGCCACTGAGATGGACACTTGAAAATGGTTTAAATGGTAAATTTCATGGTATGTGTATTTCATTACAATTTTTAAAATTGTGAGAAAAACAAAGAAACTTCCATAGAAAGACTGTGGGAACCTCCCGGAGTTCCAGGGAATCAGCACCTGCACAGTTCCCGCAGGCTTCACTGCCCTGTTGGCGAAGATTATGTGTCCTTAGGAGGCAGCTGAGGAAGAGTGGGGGGTTGGCGCCAGGGCCCTGGGTTTGAGTCCTGATTCCCCCTTTCACTGCGTGTTCCTGGGCAAGACATCTACTTCCACTGGGTTCTTTTTCCACATCTGAAAACGGGGGATCATATTCTACTCTTGAGTGCGTCATTGTAAAGAACAGATACCTTATTTTTTTTTTAAATGCTTCCAGCACAGTGCTCTAGGGCACTTGAGAAGGTGCCCATAATTGGTATCTTTGTTGTTGTTCACATGTGCCCCCTTCTTTGCTAGACACATCCTTACCAGGGAGCAAAAACCTGACATAGAACTGTGCTCCAGGACTGGGGCTCCTCTCCTTCCCCCCAAGAAGTGTGCCGGGCCTCAGGCTCCTGGCCCTCTCCACCGGCCAGGAAGGGAGTAGAGGGGGGGTGTACCCACAGCTCCTCTGGAGGCACATAAGCAGTATGGGAGCTTGGACCCTGGCTTCCCACTCTTAGCCTTCCTACCTCAGGTGGGCAAGTATCCAGCTGTGTTCAAAGGAGCTTTGTCCAGCACATTTGGTGACTTTTACATCACTAGTCTCTTATTATTCCTTTATTTGCAAGTGCACTGGACCCTAAAGTTCCGATGATTGGGCCTGGTTCAGCTTCCTGTATTCAATCAAAACTGTTTTATTTGTGGTTGAATCCCACACATTCAGAGCCAGAAGAACCTGAATGTTCAGTTCTTATCTTCTGATTTTAAGGGTGAGGGTGTGACACCCACAGGGTCTAATGACTGGCTCAAGGACATACTCAGGTCACGTGTAGCAGAGCTGAGACCAGAAGGAATCCTGTGATGGCTGGGTCTGCAGTATTTTTACTCTAGTGGGTGAAATAAAGACAGGGTTCAAACCCACACTGGGCTCTCACCTCGGTCAGGGGGCAACATTAAGTCTGCACTTCTCTATCCCACCTGATGGCAAGACCCATGGACAGCAGAGTAGCTCCCGGGTTCTCTGCAAGGACGCACTGCAGGAATCACCCCAGCCAATGATTTTCCACCACGGAGGGACCACACCCAGGGAGGCCAGAAGTATATAGTGTGCCAGAGCACATTTAACGCAAGTTCGGTGGGCATACAGGTGAACATGCCAGAGTATTACAATACCCACTAACCAAAGGAAAGCTGCTCCAGGTTAGCAATGGCCAAGGATGAAGGCCTGGGAGAGAACGCAGAGTGGCTGGGAGTATTCAAGGGGCTGTGGGTTTGAACAGGATGGACAAAGCTGTCTTCTTCTCTCAGTTCCCCATCCCGACCCCTTTCTGTAACTAACAGGAAAAGTTGGTGGTGCCTGCCCATGGGGTTAGAAAGTGGCCATGAACCAAAGTGAAGGAAGGAGGGCCATCTTGAGGCTGATTTCAGTCCCCCCAAGTACCAACTGATCCAACTTGTCCCAAACACAGTGACACACTGTGTCACTGTTCTCACACTGTTTCTTCTGACCATGCACAGCCACGACAGCAACAAAGAAGGGTTACAGAGGTGAGGGGACAGAGCATTAAGTCCCGGAAGAATTCTGAAAACAAGCCCACATGTGGGGGGGGGTATTAAGTTTACGTCACTACAGTTGAGGCAGGGCAAGACACAGGTACACGAGGACAAACCGAAACAAGAAGTTGTCCAGGACGTCCTGTGTTTAAGAAGTTACTAGAATGACGGAAATCTCTGCAAATTAAAAGGCAGCATTCCCGATGGGGGGGGGGGTGGATGATTTTGTAAGTGTTATATAATCTGCTGCCTTCAAAAATGTGTTGCTGGTTTAGCATTGTCTCTCTCTTGGGCATAAACTCTGGTGAGTTTTTTTTTTCTTTCTTTTTAAAGATATTTCTTTAGTTTGCCTTCTTAGCAGGTAAAAAAAAAAAAAAAAAAAAAAAAGAATCTCTGCATGTCCATGGCTCTTCAGGAGAGAAAGAAAAGCAATTTTCTGCAGTTTAGGGAGGTCCCGAGCAGCCTCCTCAAGAAGGATTGTGTGCTCCTTTGTCGGTGTTCGGGCAGAAGCCCACCTCGCTCAGGACAGCAGGTGAGGGGGGAGATGGAGAGGGAAAGGGGTTTTCATTTCTAAATTGATTTTAGAGAGGGGAAGGGCAGGTAGGGGAGAGAGAGGGAGTGATGTGGGGGGAGAGAGAGAGAATGAGAATTTGTTGTTCCACTTATTGATGTATTCACTGGGTGCTTGTTGTATGTGCCCTGACTGGGGATCAAACCCATGACCTTGGTGTATCCGGCTGACACTCTAACCGACTGAGTTACCCAGCCGGGGCTGGAGGTGATTCAGGAGGGCCTGCTTGCCCAGGCATGTCTTCCATGACTTGCAGGATCTTCCTCCCTCCTTGTTAGGGGCTGAACCATGACCTCCGAAAATTCGGATGTTGAAGTCCTAGGCCCTCAGAGATAGGGCCTTTAAAGACCTTACTGAGATAAAATGAGATCCTACACGTGCACCCGAATCCAATATGCTGGTGTCCTTATAAGAAGAGGAAGTTAGGACAAACACACAGGGGGAAAGCCATATGAAGACACAGAGGGAAAACAGCCATCCGTACGCCAAGGAGAGAGGCCTCAGAGAAACCAACCCTGCTGGTACCTTTATATGGGGCTTCCGGCCTCCAGAAATGGTGAAGCCCCCTCCCCACACCCGACCCCGCCCCAGTCTGCGGTACTTTCTAAGGCAGCCCTAGCCAACTGATTGATATCCTCCCTTCCTGTCCCTTCCTTTTACAGCTGGCCTGGTCCTTTTCCTCCAACAAACACCTGCCTTCTCTCTCTGCTTCCAATCCTCACTTCTCTGATTTTTCTGAGCTACTGTCTGACTTTTGAAACACAAATAATGTTTTGCTGTTTCAGAAAGCTCAGTTGGGAAATGTCAAGGGAAAAAAAAGAAAATGCCACCAAAACACCCTGCTACTTCCATCCGCCCTCACTGTCAGGACAGGCCTGGGCTCCCCCGGGACCAGCGTGGGTGTGGGCCTCCTGCCCGGACACAGAGGAAAGCGCATGCCTGGCGTTCCTCCCGCCTTCACTGGCATTTCGTAGGGCAGTGCAGGAAGGCCCATCTTCCACACAGACACGCCCTGGATGGCCACAGGTCAATGCTGTACCTTCCGATCAGTCCGCTTTCTGCAAAGAGGAGGGTGCTAGGGGGGACTTGCAGCTTGCTATTTTAAATTGGTTATCTAATACGCATCATCCACAGCATGACGCTTTTTCTTGTTTTAGCTTACTCCACCCACTCCTGGTCCTGGGACAGTAGCTCCTTGAATTACAGCACAGGACCAAAGAACAGATGCCAATCCTATTACTGAGTACCATGCAGTTTTAATTTTTTTAGGTTTTTTTTTTTTTTTTTGCCTTTTGGCAGTTTTAAAAAAAACCCCAACAACCTAATGAGGGAAAGGAGAAATAAATAAAATAAGAGATTACCTGTAACTACCCAATAGTCTCTGGTTGTCTCTGATATGTCAAGGTTGGGGTATTCCAGTGCTAAAACAAATGAGAAACAAATTACTTTTCTGAGCTTGATAGGTAATTACTGTTATGGGAAATAAACACAGGTGACGAAATATGAAGGAGCTGGAACCTGCTGTATCATCCTTAGGAACTTTATGACCTACAGACCAAAACTACCCTGCTGTTCAGAAAACTGAAATAGTCAGTAAAGAGCTCACCTTCAGATGAAGAGTTTTCTCAGGTTTGTGGATTTCCGCACTTTCAGTTTTCCATCAAAACCTTCTTATGTGAACATCTTCATTATTAAGATCCACAGCTAGAACCTGTCTGAACTGTAGCTTTTTCTTTAACAATATTTAACCATCACTACCATTTTTAGGAACGATTAGCTCTTGAATGGATTTTTCCAATGTCAAGGACTGAGTTTAGCAGCCAAATATGCTTGTAACTAACATGTTTTCACAGGTATCCTGGCCACCAGAGTTAAGGCACATAAAGGGCTTAGCCCAGTGCCTGGCCACAGGAAGTAAGTGCTCAGTAAATCTTAGCTGTTGTTACTATCAAAATATCGAGATGAGAGAAAATAAATTCTTCACATGCTGCCATGTGTCACAAAGCCTTCTTTTATCTTTTCCATAAAATCCAGTTATCTGTCCTTACTACGTGGAAACTTGCTATTAAACAAACATTAAAAAAATTCAGAATGGCTACCCTGGGCTGAAATATATCCACATATATCATCGCATTTATTCATAATATCTAAAGCAACCATGGAAGGAAATAGAATTTTGCTAAACCTCGTGGTTTAAAAGAGAACTTGCCCAGTGACCTTGAGAAATGTACCAACAATTACACTTAAAAGCACAGATTTTTCCTCCCTTTGGCTAGCAAGTAAGTGTTTGGGGACAAAGGTAGGCTGCATCGTCCTCGAAGCCTGTGCCTGCTGCGTGGTAATGAGGATTATGTAGCTGAAGCATTAGAGGAAGGTGAGGCCACAAGACTACGGGGACTTCATCAAAAGAAGTCACAGTGCTGACTGCAAATGAGCTGCACTAGAACCGGCCACCAGGGCAAGGGCTGCCGGCCCCGGGATGGCTGCTGACAGCAGGAGCCGGGGAACCACAGCACTCCGTATCGCCACGAGGACAGATGCCCTGCCAGGCAGGACTAGGTGTTCAGAGGCAGACTGCTTGGGTTCAAACCCCAGATTCCAGGTCTCACTAGCTGTGTGAACGTGGATGTTTTATTAAATGTAACAAAGTTCCATTTTCTCATCTGCACAATGGCACTAACTGTGCACCTACCTCAGGGGGTGGTTATAAGGATTAAATGAGATAAGAGACGTGTGAAGGTTGTGGACCGCTCTGCCTGGTTTCAGGAATTGTAACTACCTCTCATGGCTAACGATGAGCAAGTGACCCCCGGAATGTGAGCCACAGGGGACAAAGCTTGTCTCTGGTAGCAAATGCTACCTCAGTTTCCTCCCTGCCCCCAAAGCATGGTAGGAAGTCCACGGGGGGTAAGTCTTCTCACAGTGAGGAGCAACCTAAGCCAGACTGGATCACTTGGGAGGCCATCATGGAAGGACTTGGGGGGCTGCAACAAAGAGTGAGCAATGGGCCCTTGCCCCCACACTATATGACGTAGCCGGAGTCCCCGTGTCCTCTGGGAGAAGCACTTTCTGGCTCTAATCCACTTAAGCCTGAATACCTGATGGGGAGGGGTACAGCTCCTTGCCTTGCCAGAGTGGATCCCAGGGGAAAATCTGGCACCACAAAAAATTCCTAAAAAACCTGTGAAACCTGCTCTGTTACGAGTGCTTTCATTCATATGTTAAGGGTCTGAGCAGGAAATGAGTGTCTCCCACAGTTTCTGCAACCCCCTTTCCTAACAGACACTGACTCAGACTAAGCCCTCAGATTCTTTGAAATGTTACCTACTGTTTGGTCCTTACCACCTGTATTCCTGTGTATTACAACCCAATAAAAGCCCCTGGAGGAAGGGGCTCAAGGCCCTTCCCTTTTGAGGGATTGGCCACCTTTCCCCCCCAAGCAGATCATGTCTTAGTAGTGTTTACTTTCATCCATGGTAGATGGGGGGGGAGACCTGCAGGAAAAGTTGCCCCCACATGTAAAGAGTAAAGGCACCCAGCAAGGGCTTTTTTACAATGTGCAATCAACTCATTATCAATTCAAAATCCCATGTATCTCTAATTCCAGTTGCTGTTTTATGACCAAAGAGCAAGCATGCGGCCTGCCATAGTGATTGTCTGCAAAATGAAGAAAGGCCCCCAGGAAAATGGGAGAGTCCCAGTACGACGGGCACAAACTCACGTTCAGCAATGGTGAGCGGCGGGTAGGTGAGGTAGAACCCCACCAGCTCAGCCGAGAGCTGGCGGAGGAGGCTGCTGGCCACGGTGCCGTTGAGGAAGGAGCTCCGGTTGCCCACCACGTACACCAGTGTGACAGTCTGGGAGGCATTGGACGTGCTCACAATCTGAATCGACACAGGAGGAAAGGGGAGGGAGACATGCCACATAAGATGAGGGTCTGTTTCATGGAGGCCGTGGGAGGAGAAGTTTAAGCAGAAGTTGAGGGTAGCAATGAAAGGGAGGTGGGGAAAGAGCAAAGAAGAGACAAGAATAACAACAGTCATCACTCACGGATGGCTCGTTACAGGCCAGGCATCATGCTAAGGGCATGTCACCTCATTCAATCCCCACCACGACCCTAGGGGGTGTACCTAATGATGACTCCCTTTTACAGAAGATGAAACCAAGGCTTGCCCAAGGTCACACGGCTACAAAGTGACAGAGTCAGGCTTCAAACCCAGGCAGTCTGCATATTTTCTGGGGCTAAATCAGATTACTTTTCTGGTCCTGCCAATACAAAGGAGAGCATGGGGATGTAAAATTTAAGGAACGCTCAGGGGCTCACACAGAGAAAGCCCATGTCAAACTTTTGGGGAACTTTGAAGTTGAAAGGACAGGGAATGCACACCAACCTGGTAACAAACAGAGTGACTGAATCTCATTACAAGGAAGTTCAGAAATATAAAATAGCTTCTTTGGAGAGTGAGTATCTCTCCTGTGGTCTGTGAATGCAATGTAGGACATGTAAATATGAATATGAGATGGTGTGGTTTTCTTCTTGCATGTTGTCTAAGCCAGTGTTTCTGTCACTGGAAAAGGAGGTTTTCTAGGTCAATGTATGAACAAAAATATCCCACAGATGAGGCGTGCAAACCAGATGCAGCAGGAAGTCACTCCACTTGGAGAGACCATCTTTGTCTGCTCCTTCCTTCTCCAGACCCGATTGCCACCCCCTCTCATCCTGCTCAGTGCCCCCAGAGGCAGACCCTATGGACCACTTTGGCGGGTTCCTCTGCCCTCTGGCTTCAGCTAATGGGAGATCAGCAGGATGAGGAGAGAGAGAGGGAGAAAGCAGAGTATCGGTGTTGGGGACTCCCTGCCCGTGGGGTAAAGTTCCCGCTGGGCAGCTGTGGCCTCTGGTTTCCGTAACCGTTGCTTCCCCTCCTCCGTCAGCCCCAACTGTTCCACCTTTGGGCGCTGCACTGTCCCTGTGGTTTCCCGAGTAACTGCCTAGGCTTCTGCAAAGGGTCCCTTTCACTGGATTTCCTTAAAATATCTTCATTTGAGTGTGTCCTTTCTTCCTAACAGGAGCTGACTGGTATCCCTCTCTCCTAGGCCTTTGTATGCTCAGACATCAACATGTCTGCAACTTTCCTTTTAAACCCCACTTTGAGGAAGACTGTTAAGAATGGCTTCTTCATGTTATTTCTCACCTTTTCCCATGGCTGGAAATTACTTTAAAATTCACTATTACAGAGTATACAAAATACAGTCCAGTGGTCCCCAACCCTTTTAGCACCAGGGATAAGTTTCCTAGAGGACAATTTTTCCATGGGCCAGGTGGGGGCGGGGGATGGGTTCGTGATGATTCGAGTGCATCCCATGCAAGCTCACCTCCTGCTGTGCGGCCCAGTTCCTAACAGGCCTGGAGGTTGGGGAGTCCTGATATAGTCCCACGATTAATGACATACACTCACACTCCTCTCTGCAACTATTTTTGGAATGTGGTTTAGCCACAGGTATTCACACCTCTTTCTCAAGCTACCAAGAAGAAAGGCACTGTTTCCGAACAATTCAAAAGCCCTCGCTGCATTGCCACCTATAGAAGTAGTAACTAAAATAATGTTGTGACCTTTATGTCTATTGTGAACATTCTATTTTGTGCTCAACAAAATTCAATTTCACTGGGTCCCAAAGAGCCAGCAGCATGGGGGCCTCTTTGCATATGACACTTGACTGGGTACTTACACTTTTTTAAGCTAAGGGTATTTTTATTGAAATGTAACTGACATATGACATTATATCAGTCTCATACATTTTTATTGTGGTACACTACATAAATGTTACCATTTTAAGTGTACAGTTCAGTGGCATCAGGTACATCCACATTATCATGCAGCCAACACCACTGCCTGTCTGCAGAACTTCTCCATCCCAGGCTCAGCCTCTGTACCCATGATACACCTCCCCACCCATCAGCCGAGCGACCGACCCCTGTTCTACCTTCTGTCTCCATTAATTTGATGAAACTAAATACCTTTTATAAGTGGAACCACACACTATTTGTCCTTTCATGACTGGCTTATTTCACTTAGCATAATGTCCTCAAGGTTCCTCCAGGTTGTAGCACACTTCAGAATGAAGCTCCTTTTCTAGGATGAATGGCATTTCATGGTACCTGTACGCCACGTTCACCCACTCATCTGTGGATGGACACTAGGGTGGTTTCCACTTTTTTGGCTGTTGTGAATACTGCTGCTATGAACATGGGTGTGCAAATAGCTACTCAAGTTCCTGCTTTCAGCTCTCTTGGTTACATACTTGTGAATAGAACTGCTGGATCATATGGTAATTCTGTATTTAATTTTTGGAAGAACCGCCATTCGACATGCTCACCAGCACTGTGCCCAAGGCCGATTCCTCCACTTCCTTAGCAACGTGTTGTATTCCATTTTTAAATAATCCCTTCCTCATAGGTGTGAAGTGGTACCTTGTGGTTCTGATTTACATTTCCCTAGTGATTAGTCATGTGGAGTGTCTTTTCATGCACTTATTGGTCATCTGTGTATCTTCTTAGACAAATGTCTAAGGATTTTCCATGTACACTATCATGTCATCTGCAAACAGTGACAGTTTTGTTTCCGCCTTTCCTATTTGGATGCCTTTTATTTCCTTTTCTTGCCTGATCGTTGTGGCTAAAACTTCCAATACTATATTGAATAGAAGTGGTGAAAGTGTACATCCTTGTCTTGTTCCTGATCTAAGTTGAAAATATTTAATTTTTGCCCATTGACTATGATGTTGGCTGTAGGTCTCTCATATATGGCCTTTATTATATTGAGGAATGCTCCCTCTATTCCCACTTTGCTAAGTGTTTTTTATCATAAATGGGTGTTGTACCTTATCAAAAGCTTTTTCTGCGTCTATTGATATGATCATGTGGTTTTTGTCTTTGCTTTTGTTCATGTGATGTATTACATTTACTGATTTGCGAATATTAAACCATCCTTGCATCCCTGGGATGAATCCCACTTGGTCATGGTGTATGATCTTTTTGATATATTGTTGGATGCAATTTGCCAATATTTTGTTGAGGATTTTAGCGTCTATGTTATCAGTGATATTGGCCTGAAGTTTTCTGTCTTTGTTGTGTCTCTATCTGGTTTTGGAATTAGGATGATGCTGGCTTCATAAAAAAGAATTTGGGAGTTTTCTATCCCTCTGGACTTTTTGGAATAGTCTGTGAATAATAGAGGTTAGCTCTTCATTAAATTCTTTGTAGAATTCTCCTGTAAAACCATCTGGTCCAGGGCTTTTGTGTGATGGGAGTTTTTTTATTACTGTTTCAATTTCTTTTGCTGTTATTGGTGTGTTCAGATTTTCTGCTTCCTTTTCATTGAGTTTTGGAAGATTGTATTTTTCTAGAAATTTATCCATTTCCCCTAGGTTTTCAAATTTCTTGGCATACAGTTCTTCATAGTAATTTCTTACAATCCCTTCTATTTCTGTGGTATCAGTTGTAATCTCTCCTCTTTCATTTCTGATTGTGTTTATCTGTGTCCTCTCTCTTCTTTTCTTGATGAGCCTACTTAAAGGCTTGTCTATTTTGTTTATCTTTTCAAAGAACCAACTCCTGGATTCATTGATCCTTAGAATTGTGCTTTTAGTCTCTATGTCATTTAATTCTGCTCTGATCTTGGTTATTTCCTTCCTTCTGCTTGCTCTGGGCTGTCTTTGTTGTTGTTCCTTGAGTTCTTGCAGGTGTGGGGTTAGGTTGTTTGCTTGAAATGTTTCTATCTTTTCTAGGTAGGCCTGTATTGCTATAAACTTCCCTCTCAGGACTGCCTTCGCTGTGTCCCATAAGTTTTGAGTTGTTGTGAGATCATTTTCATTTGTTTCCAGAAATGTTTTGATTTCTTCCCTAATTTCATTCTTGACCCATTCATTGTTTAATAGCATACCATTCAGTCTCCATGATTTTGGGTGTTTTGGGTTTTTTCCTTTGGGGTTGGTTTCCAGTTTCAGTCCCTGTGGTCAGAGAAAATGCTTGGTATGATTTCAATTTTCTTGACTTTGTTGAGGCTCGTTTTGTGACCAATCGTGTGGTCGATTTTTTAAAATGTTCCATGTGCATTTGAAAAGAATGTGTATTTAGCTTCTTTGGGATGAAAGGCTCTATATATATCAGTTAAGTCCATTTCATCTAGGGTGTTGTTTAATGCCACAATATCTTTGTTGATATTTTGTTTGGAAGATCTGTCCATTTTTGACAGTGGGGTGTTAAAAATCCCCTACCATAATTGTGTTGCTGTCAATATCTTTCTTGAAGTCCTCTAAGATTTTCTTGATATATTTGGGTGCCCCTGTTTGGTGCATATATATTTATGATGTTAATGTCTTCTTGGTGGATTCTTCCCTTGAGTATTATGAAGTGACCTTCTGGGTCTCTCTTTATGGCCCTTTTTTTGAAGTCTATTTTGTCCGATATGAGAATTGCTGCCCCAGCTTTTTTTTCTTGTCCATCTGCTTGGAAAATTTGTTTCCAGCCTTTCACTTTTAGTCTGTGATGGTTTTTTGTCCTGAGGTGGGTCTCTGGTAGGCAGCATATGTGTGGGTCATGTTTTCTTATCCATTCAGCTATTCTGTGTCTTTTGATAGGAAAATTTAATCCATTTACATTTAAGGTTATTATTGATAGGTACTTATTCATTGCTATTTTTGTACCTGTGTTCCTTTCTGCTTCTCTCTTTTCCTTCCTTTCCTTAAAGCAGTCCTTTTAGTATTTCTTGTAGAGCTGGTTTGGTGAAGGCATATTCTTTTAGACTTCTTTTGTCTTGGAACCTCTTTATTTGGCTTTCTATCTTGATTGAGAGCCTTGCTGGGTAAAGTAGCCTTGGTTGTAGGCCTCTGGTTCTCATTACTTGGAATATTTCTTGCCATTCTCTTCTTGCTTGGAGTGTTTCCATTGAGAAGTCAGTAGCTAACCTTATTGGGGCTCCCTTGTATGTTACTTCTTTTTTCTCCCTTGCTGCCTTTAAGATTCTTTCTTTGTCTTGGAATTTTGCCATTTTAGTGATGATGTGCCTTGAAGTGGGCCTCCTTGGATTCCTCTTGATTGGGACTCTGTGATTCCTGGATTTGTGTGACTTTTTCTCTCATCAAATTAGAGAAATTTTCTCTCATTACTCTTTCTAATATGTTTTCTATCCCTTGTTCTTCTTCTTCTCCTTCTGGTATTCCTATTATTCAGATATTATTACTTTTCATATTGTCTTGCATTTCTCTTAATCCCTCTTCATTCTTTCTGAGCCTCTTTTCATTTTCTTGCTCTTTCTGTGAGATGCTTTCTACTTTGTCCTCCAACTCACTAATCTGATCCTCCACCTCATCTATTCTACTTTGGAAACTTTCTACTGTGTTCTTCAATTCGGAAATTGTATTCTTCATTTCCTCTTGTCCCTTGCTGATAGTTCCCATTTCCTTTTTCATGATGATGCAGTTTGCAGTAAGATCATTGTAGTTCCCCTGTAGTTTCTGGTACCTCATTGTGAGCTCTTTGAACTTCATAATAACCAGTGCTTTGAATTCAATATCTGATAGTTGATTAGCCTCTATTTCATCTAACATTCTTTCTGAAGTTTCTGATTTTTCTTTCATTTGGGGATTGTTTCTTTGTCTTCCCATTGTTTGAGACTCTTCTTGTTAGTCTCAGCTTCTAAAATTGATCTGTTCTGACTCCCTGGGTTTATGGTGTGAACTTCTGTGGTATAATACCTGTGAATTTCAGTGGTGCAGACTCCTTCAGGTATCTTGATACCTGAAGGAGTGGTTCTCCATCTTCACCTATTCCCACGCTGGTCCTCGCACTGGTCCCCCTGCTGGTTGCCTACCACTGCTGAGTGTCCAGGCTCCCATAGCCGACTCCTCAGGCACCCTGGTCCGTTGCTACGGCTGCGGCACAGGGGCCACGAGTCTGTATCCAAACTTTTCGGAGCAGAGCCAAGAGGAACTGGCGTGGGAACCAGTGCAGGGCCGGGAAACCTGAGCTGTAACTGATGGACTGCTGGAGGCTCCTCGGTGTGAACAGCCCTGAGAGTTAAAAACTTCAGGAGGACCCAGGTATAAAGAGGGATGGACCTTCCAATTTTGTGTGTTTTACCTCCAGGAGCTTGAACAGGTTCTCTTCCTTTGCTCATTTCTCGATTGCGTTAATTTTTGTTGTTGAGTTTAGGAATTCTTTATGTAGTCTAGCTATAAACCCCCCTATTACATACTATATGATCTGCAAGTATTTCCTCCCATTCCATGGGTGGCCTTTCTATTGTGCCCTTTGGTCCACAAAAGGTTTTAATTTTGGCAATGTCCAATTATCTATTTTTGCTTTTGTCACCTGTGTTTTTGGTGTCATATCCAACAAACCATTACCAAGTCCAATGTCCTGATGCTTTTCTTCTCCATTTTCTTCTATGATTAATAGTTTAAATCTGACATTTAGGTCTTTGATCCATTTTAAGTTAATTTATGTATATGACATTAGGCAAGGGTCCAACTTTGTTCTTTTCCTCATGGATGTCCAATTTTCTCAATATCATTGGTGGAAAAGACTGTCCTTTGTCCATTGGTCTTAGCACCCTTGTCAAAAATCATTTGACCATATATGCAAGGGTTTGTTTTTGAACTCTATTCTGTTCCATTGGTTTATATGCCTATGCTTATGCCAGTACCACACTGTTTTGATTATCATAGCTTTATTGTAAGTTTTGAAATCAGAAAGTGTGAGACCTCTGACTTTTTAAGATTGTTTGGCTATTTAGGGTCCCTTGAGATTCACTGAGTTTTAGTATTTCCACAAAAAGAGTCACTGGAATTTTGATGAGGACTGCAGCAAGTCCAGATTGCTCTTAGTAGTATTGACATCTTAACAAAATTACCTTTCAATTCATGAGCACAGAATGTTTTCCATTTATATGTGTGTCTCCTTTAATATAGTTATTTTTTATAGCTAAGAGAAGCGTGATCATTGTGTATGGCTGCTTAACACTAGCTTCATAAATAAGGGGTCCATAGGCCCGTGATCAAGGTTGTATCACTGTTCCCTGAAAGTCGTGCTGTGTCCCCATCTCTTCTTTATTCTTAGACTCCTGTGGCTCCTGACCTGATCTCTTACTTCCCACTCCCTCATGCTGCAACTCATGAGACTGACCCATGAGAATGACCAAATGGAAAGCTCTTATTTTGGCAACCCAGCAACCACTGTCCCTTCCATGACAGCGTCACAATTTTTCTTGGGGAAACTCTGTTTCCTCTACCAGTTCATGTGCTTTGGGTGGCACTGCTCTGGCCAAGTTCCGGGAGTGGGTATTTGAGCCAGCACTAGTTGACTGGGACATTTCACCTCCTTGGTCACAGTTACTGGTCCAGAAACAGGCACAGGATCCAGGTGGGTCCAATGACAGCTAATCTCAGGATTTTTACTGGAATGACACAAAAAGGCGCTTTGGTTCCACAGACTGTGAGCAATAAGGAGGCAAACGTGTGGGTGCAAGGGGCCAGCCTGCACGGCCTGAGGATGACAGCAGCCCAGAGCAAGATCAACCGAGAAATGAGATGAGAACTGCGTGAAGAAATTACGTGAGCACCTGAATCCAATTGTGCCTGAAGTAAATAAACTTTGAACTTGTCACTTGCATGAACCAATCACTTCTTCTATTTGCTTTTAAACCTGTGAACTTGCATACTGTCATCTGCACCAAAAAATCCTGATTGAGTCCACTGTAATCCAGCCTCTAGCATCAATGCTATAAAGTAAAAAAATATATGTCGCCTTTTTAACGATTCTCTCAACAAATTAATTAAATATTGATGTAGTCTTACTCCACAGCGGATCCAAGGTTCTCCACAAATTATATTTAATACAATAAAATGCAAAGTTAAAGTTACAAAACCAGATCCTGGATAAACACATTAAAGACAGCCCCAGGGGAACGACTATCATACAGTTCTCTATGCATGATGATAGAGGGTCTTAGAGGGTCCTAAACCGAGGCAAGAACTTTGTCTCTGGGCTTCCTATTGGCCAAAGCAAAAAGAGAAATGGGATTAATAAAATAATTCACCCAATTATCCATTCATTTCAAGAGCTGTTGATATATATTCAAGAGTTTTTAAAATCTATTTAGATACAATTTTAAAATTGCCTGTTGTAGTCTTCTCCAAGGAAGTTTTCTTACTTGCTAAGGCCAAGGGCGGCTTTTCTTTATCTTGGTGTCCCTCTCAGGGCCTGATGAATAGCAGGTGCTCAGTAAGTCTGTGCTTCTTGAATACAATCAGAGTGTGTTCTGAATACCATCTGAGTATATTCTAATTCTAACCAGACTCAAGTACCTGTGAGAATCCAAATACAATGAGAAAACAAAAGATCTCCCACAGAAGATCTGAGTCATTCTGCTTACATAAATGTTAAGCCTGTGACATGTTTTTAGATGTTAGTCTATTATGAACCAAATCATAATGAGATACGTCCACTTTGGATGGATGGAGAAAAGGAAAGCTTCTCCTTCAAATTAAATTGTACTCTTTCTACATCATATTGGCGTTGCTGATAATTTACCTATGCTAAAGGTCAGTTTCGAAACCACTGGGTTTCATCTCAAAGGCAAACCCTGGAGGTGCCTTTTAGTTCAGTGAAAATGGAGATATTGGCTAGTACAGTTCATTAGAGCAGTTTGGGGGCTGGATAAATGTCATTAAGAAGCATCTGTCTTTAGTGGGATGATATCTATACAATTGCAAAAATGGGTATGAGAAAGGCTTTTGATGGCATGCTTACTGTAAATCCGGGAAATTGAAGCACAGTGCTCTAGGAGTGGGATTTTCCTGGGAAATAAATCACGCATTTGCCAAAAGTTTCACCATGGGTCCCATTTCCCCCTTGCATCGATGTTAGTGTAGCACGTGGATAAGAGTGGGCTTTGCTCAAGTCTTTATTCTATTTTTCACCAAAAATAATGTGTGCCTTTCTGGAAGTTTCTCACCCCTCTTTCAGTTCTCTCTTCTGTGAAATGATGATAATAATACCTCAGAAGGAATGTCTTAGGTATTATGTAGCAAAATATTCATAAAACACTTAGCACCCTCCTAGCACATAGGAAGCCCTAAGTACAAAATGTGTATGTGTGTGAAATAAGAGACTTCATGTGGACATTTGGAAAATAACTCAATGAAAATCACAGAATAGGCAAATCTTAGTGCATGAGCTATTTAGAAATGATTCATTTTATACGAGACATTTGATATATCTTATATAGTATATTCTAGCACCATTTTAAAAAATAATAAATGCATTGGAAAGGCCTGAGGAACCTTCCTGTGGGAAAATAAGTATAAAACCCCAAAGCACAGCAGGGACACAAGGACATGGCTTCCACACCCCAGACATCCTCCCCAGTGCCGGACCAGCCCTACTCAGCGGCCCGAGTGAGAGGCACTGTCTCCTGCCTGCACCACACGTTCAAAGTCCAAAGTAACATTCACCCCAGGCAGCTTGGAAATTGGGGACTGAGTCACCCCTTGCCAACCCCTGACTGGCCTCTGTCGACGACACAGCTCCAGTGCCCTCGTCCTTACCTGAACTGTCAGGTTGCTTTTGGTGCTCAGGACCTTCTTCTCGGCATCCTGGAAGGCCTTCTGCAGTCTCTGTTCCATCGTCTGAGCAAACTTGCAGGACTGGATGTTGTCGGACTGGCTCACAAACTGAAGCACTAGAGTGAGAGCAGTAAATCAGCACTCACCGACGCAGTGTCTCCGTTCCTGGGACTCAACCGCCGTCATAATACAAAATGCACTTTTTACATCAGAGCAATTAGGGAAGTGAAGGGTGACATGGTTTGGCTGCAGGTCTGTAAGGGGTTCTTAAAATGATTTATAACCTAGAAGAATTTAAAGTGTGATTGGACCTGAGATTCCCTCCAATGCAAAGGATTTTGTGATTTCACCTGATTGGAATATGTAGACATCTGCTCCAAGATTGCTAAAAAATAACCAAAGAGAGGTCTTGCCTTCTGATGCTTTGGAGGGAAAAAATAATCAATTGACTTGCATCACTAAGTTCACTGTGCCTTTCAGTGTCAACAGTTTCTCTAAGCTTCGGGTTTACAAAAGACTGGAATCAGCAGGGAGCTTGGGAGAAAGATTCCAAGGCCTGAGCTCAGAGATTCTCATTCAGTGGCATCTGGAATGCGTTGCTCCAAAGCACAGGTTTTATGGATATTCAACTCTAACTGGTATTCATAATATGGAAAAAATCCAAAAATATACCACCTGGTGCATGGAAGTACTAATTAAATCCATTAGGAAGAAACGCTCCTGTGAAGAAATATTTCCAATTAGTCCAGGAAAGATTTAGGCTGATGTGCAGGGCACTTGGACATTTGCTTTAGCTGGGCCGTGTGAGGGAGGAACACAGAGACTTGAAAAGACAACAGAGCAGTCAGCGATGGATTTTTTAAACAGGGGTCTTCTTGGTACTGTCCCCAGTTCCAGAAAAGGTAGAAAACCTTCCCTTCTGAGTTACTTGCCTGTTTTCAGCTGGAAGTAGCCTGCAGGCTGGGGATCCCACGGGGCGGCGAGTACCGCCACAGACTGCAAGTTCGGGGCATGCTGCTTCAGATCCGCAGTGACATTGCTGACCCCGTAAACACCCAGCATTTCGATCACTGCGGAAGGCAAGTACACCAGCCTCCCTCTGGTAGCATAATAACCAACTGTGACGTTGTGAGAATGTTCCAGAATGTCCACCTACAAAACAAATGGACGCCCAGAACTCAGTATTGGTTTTCACAGAATGTTAAGTTATTTAGCATGGCTGGGGAGTAGGATGTTCTCATTCAACGACTATTCTAACAATGCTATAAGAAAGACATGGATTGGCAAGTCTTAAAATATCAGAATACAACGAAATATCATGATGCTGAACCTACATGTTGATAGAATTAAATCTTTGGTTTCCGGTTTTATTCCTTAAGTGCCTCATATAATCCTGCGAGCACCAATTACCACCTAGGATGGTAGACAGAAGACAGCAGGCAAAAGAGATTTCCATGGGACGGAATGCTAAAAAAATAGCTTTATTGTACTTCTCATCATTTAAAAATTAAAAGGCAGAAATGAGAGATTAATTGGGGCCCCTTCAGGACAAGGGTCTAGTAGTATATGAGGTGAATTCCTCTGGCTAGAAGCTGAGAGAAGAGTTGTTCAGACTTAACTCCATTCTTGACTAGTAAGTTGGTTCAGCCCAAGGCACGGTGGGCCATGAAGAGTCTCTCTTACAGCTGAGCCCTGGGGGATACTGCTGATCTGAGCTCTTTCTGACCCAAATGGAGGACCTGAAGGCTTTAGATTGTATTCTTACTTGTTTTTGCTCTTGTTTTATATTAACAGTTCAGGGTGTTTTTAACACCCACTCCCTTCCACCGCCCCCTACTCTTCCACCTCCATTGGTAATGTCACGTGTATTGGCAAAGGAAATCAAGACAACTGATTACGCAACAGGCTGGGTGCGCCTTTGGTTTCTTCACACTGTTTCCCCAGGTGCTGTTCAAGGTGGCCCAGGTGACTAGTGTGCCAGAGAGGAGCGGGGTTGGGGCGCTGGGTGAAAGTTAAAGGGATCAAGCAGTAGAGATTGGTCATTGCAAAAGCAGTCATGGAGAGGTAAACCACAGCACAGGAAATAGAATCAATGACATTGTGATAACTATGTCAGGCGGGTACTTGAAATATTGAGGAATCCCTCTGTAAGACATGTGATTGTCTAAGCAGTGTGCTGTATACCTGGAACTAATACAAAATAATACTAAATGTAAACTGTCACTGAAAACAAAACAAAAAAAAATTTAGAGGTGGCTTTAGGTGGAATGAGATCCTTCCGAATGGAGCACAGACACACACTGAGTAATACCAGAGAGCAAGTGACCCCTGTTCAAGCCCTTCTAATGACCTCGAGGACTGAGTCTCTGGTTGGGGATCACTGACTTTCAATACCTCCCCAAGCTTTACAAGTCGTATTTCTGCCAGTGCTGTTTAGCTTCAATTTAACAAGCTGTTCCCATTATTCTTGTTTTCGCAGTTACATTTTCTTTGTGGCAAATGATCCTGATTTTCATTTATGGTGGTAATATCAAACACCCTTTTGAAATAAATTGTATTTAATTTTTAAAAATGAGCCAATTGAAAAACTAATAGGGGGATCAGGGGGTTGAGGGATGGAGCCAAAAGGAAAAAGGACTCATGGACATCGATGACAGTGTGGTGACTGTGGGGGAATGGGGTGAATGAGTTATAAGGGGACTAAATGGTAATGGAAAAATACAATAAATAAAGAAAAGAACTAACACATACTAATTGTCACAGTTGTCTGTGATGATATGCAAGAAAGGCAAAAACTTGAAGGTCATTTCCAAATGACAGAAGTTTAATGAAACCTGTGTCAGGCAACCAATGGAAACATTCACACTTTCTACTTTCAGACGAGATTGTGCGTGTTCAGGGCGGTACAGATGCCTCACGTAGAATGCATTTCTTTCTTTTCTTTGTTTAGAATTATATAAAAGAGGTTGACAATGACCAACAAATTACGTACCAAAACTTATTCCTATTTCTTGCTGTGGTGGTGCGGGGGGAGGGGGGGCACCACCAGCTGAACACAGCTGTAGAACAAAGCATCAAGGGAAGAGGCCAGAGGTGCAAAGGGTGCCCACCAACTGCCAACCGCATTTACTGCTTTCAAACAGGGAATCAAAACAAACACGCATAAAGCAAGGCTTCCATCACTGGGATGTGCCTTCAAAATCATCTAGCAGTTGTTGAATAGCACTTGGCATTAAAGTGGAGGAAAAAAGTGTTCCCTTCCCCGTCTGCTGCTGGTAATTTAAGCAAAGCTGCACTCAATTTACAAGTCAGAGTAATTTTTAAATGTCCAGAAATAAATTGTTAACTCTTTATGATGGCGAGGGAGATAAAGGAAGAAGCAATGGATGGTATCTAGAGAATTATACTAATGATATTAAATATTTTCCCCAAACAATGAGATGATAGAACAATTTAAAACAGTATATCAAGGCTTTTTTAAAAAATCTGGACATAGGGTAATTAGCCTCCATTCTCCATCTCAAAATTTTTCTCTAACCACCACACATTCACTATTGATCAAAATGGAAAAAGCTGCTACTTCCACCCAGCATACTTATGGTACCCAGGGAGGGGGAAACAATCTGAACACACCCTGGACCCAAGAGGAAGATGTACAGGGATTAGTCTGATTACAGAAGCAAGGGGCTTACGTGAGCTGAGACGTCGTTCTGCTGGAAAGCCTTCCGCAATGCCTGCGTGAGCCCCTTGGCCACACTGAGCTTCAAGGTTTCACCGATCTGCCCTCTCCTGTGCGTCAGAAAGAGAACTGGGACAAAACCGAAGTGTGGTAATCAGGGTAAGGCAGCAGTCGTCCTAATGAAAGAGCCCTCCTCTCCTCCCCACAGCTGCCACCTCTCACAAGTTCTGAGTGAAGCCAGTTGAGTGTAGGTCCAATGGAGTAGGTAGGGTGCTGGGGTAGCGCTGGGGTAGGAGCTCTTTTGGTCCCACTCAAGTCCCAAGGAAAGAAGGCCCTAGCCATCTGTGTGGAGAGACAGCTCTCAGGCTGGTGGCACTTCATTTCTGACCAATGCTGCCTCTGAAAGGTGGGGCTCAGCAGGACCTGCCCTGATGGGTCTGCATGCTAGGGAATTCCCTCAGCAGTGTTCCTGAGACCTGACTTAGATGCAAGCCCTGAGCTAGGTGGAGCAGACAAAAAGAACCCTGTATCAGGAAGGCAGTCCCCATCCCACAAATGCAAGAGACAGAGTTGGAGACCAGTGTGAAAACAGGCAGTTGTGACTGAATGTGACAGGTGCTATTTGAAGGGATGCCTGGGGTGCCGCTGGAGACCCTAGGGAGAGCAGCCAGCTGTGACCTGGGCAGAGGTGGATCGAGGAAGGATTCCTGGAGGACCTGGAGATGTTTCTGCTGAGTTCAAAGGATCATGGGAGTGAGCTGGGCCAAGAGGGGGACAAACTGTCCCCACACTCCCAGCAGAGGGAAGACCAAGGAAGACAAAGGCCCAGGGGAGAAAAGTGAAATATTTCACTGTTTAAGCTTGGCCCTGAGGGTAGTGGGAAATGAAGGGTTTTAAATAAACGCATGCATTTTAGAAGGTTCCTTTAACTGCAGACTGGAGAACAGGCTGTGTGTGTCTGTTGTGGGGTGGGGAATCTGAACACAGACAGATAAATTGGCTGTTGCAGAAATCGAGGTGCACAATCATGACGATGTGAACTAGGGAAGCGGCAGCAGTGGTGGAAGGAAGGGGCATTCTGCAGGTAGACCTAAAAGTAACTTGTGTTTGGCTGGGTGTAGCAGCGGTGACAGGGGTCAGTGAAAATGAGAGGGGGAGAATGTTCCGGACTTCTGCATGGAGGTGGCGGAGGTTGCCACTCAGAACAGGAGACGCAGATCTGGAGGGCTAGGGGAAGGGAAAGTGGAAAACCAGATGGTGTCATTTCTTGAGATATAGAAAGAAATACTGTACTTTCTGCTAGACCTAGTTTCACAATTTCCCATTTTAGAATAGGATATGTCTAGAGAGATGATTTCATTACATTCTTTCTGGGGCCAAGAGGAAGGCAGGATGCGAGCATTCAGCATGTGAATGCTCTTTCAAATACTGTGTCTAATGCTTTGGAGAGCAAACTCTACCACACCACACTATCGAAAGGCCCCCATGCCTTCCTGGTCTGCTGTGCTGCAGCTGGCGGGAGGGGGCCAAGAAAATGGCATCTGCCTCCCAGCATTTGCAGGGTCTCCTTTTTAATGTTAAAAGAAATCCCGAGTTCCCACAAAGTGTACCATGGCTGTAGTTTTCATATCTGCTGACTGAGAACAAGCATGACAATAAGCCTTTCTGAATTCTGTAGTAATTCCCAAGATGGTATGTTTTACTAACACAGCGTTCATTCATGTGAAACGTCACTGACCTGTCTGCTCTACAGGCAAACCTTGGGGCACATGTGCTTCCTACATGTAATGCTTGTCCTCACCTCTGTCACTTGATAAAGACTGAGGGTTCTCAACCCTGGCACTACTGATATTTTGGGCCAGCCTGTTCTTTGTTGTCAACCATCCTGTGCCATGCAGGATGCTTAGCAGAGCCCTAATCTCTGTTTCACTAGATGCCAGCTGCATCCTCCCCACCCTTTAAATTGTACAGATCCCCAAATGTCTCCAGATGTGGCCAACCGTCCCCTGGGGAAGGGGGAGCCAAAGTGCCCCTGGTTGAGAATCGCCAAACTCAAAGAAATCTAATAATTCTGTTGCATCTCCAAAGCCATCATGCGCTTGCTGCTTTCAAGTAAATCAAGGTAGTGGAGTCTTACCTATCTTTACCAAGAGTTTACTGGACATCTGGCACTCCAGGTTGGACACTACCTTGCCAGTGGTAACCACAGCTGTCGACACAGCGGGAAGAGCAGCATTTGGGTTCTCTGCCAGCAGAGGCGGCAGCCGGGTCGCCCTTACCGGCGCGGTAATGGACGTCAAGGCTGCCGTGATTGTCAATGAGCGTGTGGTGGACGCCCTGGGCAAGTCTGAGTTGGTGGGGTTTGGGAAGTTCGTGTGCATGGCTTGTGGTTTCCTGGGGAGGTGAGTAGTGGACAACAGGCCAGAGGCGGTGCCTGGGTTCCCTTGCATGGCTGTGTGAGTGTTCATAGTGTGTGCGGATCTTGCAAACATATAGGTTGGAGTGAATGAGAAGGCTGGATGGACTGCGCCTGGGGTCGCCTTTGGGCCGGACGCTGTGTTGTTTGTGACATTTTTAGCTACAGCAGTGGTCAAACTGCTCTTGAGCAATCCTGAGACCCCAGCTGATGGGTTGCTGCCAGTGCCCTTGGCAACCAGGGCTGCAGACAGTGCTGGACTTGATTTCCTTGGAAACAACGTGGAAGCTGCTGCTGTTGTTGGTTCTGCCTTGGACGACACTGCAGAGTCCGCTGTGAAGAGAGAAAAAGCAAAGGTTGTCATTGGCCCAGAGTGCACACATCACTGGTGATGATGAGTGGATATAACTTATGGGTTTGCTGCGGTGAAAAGTCTCTGTGCTCTGAAATTTAAGCAAAGCAGCTTAGGCTCATTAAGTCAATTAAGCATAATGAAGATGACAATTATAGCAAAGCTATGGCTGGTAATAAGGACACTTAAATTGTGAATACTTAACAAAAAAATCAAGTCAGCAGAGGATCAAGGACATGACTGCTTGGGGCTGCTAATCCATTCATCAGTGAGACTAGGTGTGTCTGCTCATGAGCAAAGCTGGGTATCTGTGTTGAGCTTGAAGATGCTTTGGCCACAGAAGCAGTCATACCTGTTTTCTGGGTACCAGGAAACAAACTACCTGCATTAGTGGCTGCCCCTGTCCATTTCTTGGGGTGCTGAGAAGGCAGAAGCACTTTGGATGGGATCCTGAATAAGGCACTGGCTGACAGAGGAGATTCAGCAGTAGAGTGATATCTCGGGACACTCTGGAATGGTGTGGAAGCATTTATCACGGGAGATGGATAGATGCTGCTGGAAACTTGGAAACTTGTATCCATTCCATCTGAAAACACTGCCCGCAAACCAGCTGTGGAAGGCAGACTTGGAGAGGTTAGCCAGAGCGAGCGTGTTGGACGGGCAGGCCATTGCAGATGGGGAGAAGACTCGATGTGTTGACTGGTGGATGGGTGACCTTCAATCTCAGCTGCTTGGAAGACACCAGAGTGGTCGTTATTACTTATGGACAAGATGTCTGTATGGTTTCCAACCATGGTAACGTCTGACTGTTGGACTGGCTGGCTGGTGCTTGTGTCAAGGACTGGATCCTGAATACTAAAGCCTTCTGCAGTTGCTGAATGCCCAGCAGTGTCTTTGAAATGCTGAGATTCTATTGTACTGACAGCTGAAGCTAAATCGTTGGGAGCAGTAAAGGAGACTGAATGAGTATTCCAGCTTGTGGAGTTAATTGTGTGCCCATTTACATCGTGATTTGTTGGCTGCTGCATGCCAGCTATGGTTGGTTCTGTGGAAAGGGATCCAGTTCCTGCTGAAAGAGAACTCCCGAAAACATCTGTGACTGCTGGCTTTTTCCCGTTTCCCATTGTTGAGAAATCATAGACCTCGGTGGAGGAGAGAAACGCTGTCACCTGTTTGGAAGCTGAAACTGGCAGCTTGGAATGGTCTGTCGCAGCTGCGTAAGTCTCTGGATTGCTGCTGGAAGAGCTGGGAGATGAGGAAAAAGTCTGCGTGGCTTGTCCAGAGAGGATGGAATGTGGAGGTAATTCTGAAGGAAGGGTTGTGCTTGGTGTTGTAACGACAGCGGGTGAAATACGATCAGTGCTAAAACCAGAGGCAAATCCATTTACAGTGTGAAGACTCCAAATCTCTTTACTTGGAAGGGTCTGGAGGGCAACCGTGAAATTTGTCTTTTCGTTTTCCTTTAAAACAGTTGTCATGCTATTCTCTTTCTGTCGGGGAAACATCTGAGTCATGGCAAGGAGGTGAGGAATCCCCTCTTCCTGAGGAGTTGGCATTTTGGGCTCGACGGATGGAAAGGCATGATTCTGTGCCGGCTGCCGGAAAGTAGGTGTGGAGGGCATATCTGCAGCTGTGCCCTTAGATGGAGATGCAGGAACCGCCCCAGAAAGGTTGGCTTGTCCTTGGCCAGCTGTAGTGAGAGGCACAGGAGAAGGCACCCAAGAGAAAGATATGTGTTCTGCTGAACGGGCAGGCCCTTCAGAATTCTCTGGGGCTGCTGACAAATGCAGTGGGTTAGCAAAATCCTTGGCGGTGGCGGTGGCTGGCTTTCTGCTGGTCGTTTCCATTGCCACTGACTCAGCAGTTTGGAAAAGCGAAGAAGGCACAGCCTCACTGGTCACTGCTGTTGCCGTGCTCTTCCAAACCGGCAAAGCCACCCCACTGTGCACTCTTTCGTCCACCTCAGCTTTGATTGGCCGGGTGGATGCAGGGCTTGAAGCCACTTCCAACCTTGACCATGAGGGAGTTCCACCTGGCAGCTGAAGACTTCCAGGTGCTAGGGGAGGGGGAGACAGATGGGCCAGTTCTGCCCTGGAGCTCAAAAACTCTGGTGTGGGGGATCTTGCTAAGCGAGGACTCTCTGTGAAGGACAGCTCCGAATACTGCTTTGTTGAAGATCCAGAAAAACCTAGATGAGGGATGCCTATTAAATCCTGAGCATTTTTGGATGGAGTGTGGTTCGTTTCATCAGCAAATGGGTTTAGGGCATTAGCTACACTCTGACTTGAAGAGGAGTTGGTTGGAGCTGTTTGGGGGAATAAAGGCACTCTGATGGGTCGCTCGGCTGGCTTAGAAAAGATGATGGAATGAGGTGAGTCAGGAGCCAATGAAGAGGATGGAGATGGAGGGAGAAGTGGAAGGATGTCTGACCTCAGAGAATGTCGTTTTGAGATGGAAGGAGTCCCTACCCACACTGGCTGAGATGGGAGGGCAGGGCTCAAGGACGGCACTGATGGGGCAGCGGGCAATGGGGAGAGCATGCTAGTGTGAGGCAAACCTGACACGCTGGCTGTCTCTTTTCCCCCTTGAGGTCCTGGTTGGACCAGCGACTCAGTGGAATCCTTGTAAGGCTCGAAGGAGGAGCTATATCCGCTTCCTTGGTAAAGGGAAGAAGAGAAGTCCCCATGGGCCCTAGCTCTGCGGTGTGTCTTGGGAGGAGGGGTTCGTGTGAACTGCAGCACGCTGGTGTTGTCGGGGGGCGGTCCCAGCACATTCTTGATTCTGTCCCCTGCCAGGGAAGGCTGGGCTTCTGAGAAAGGCCATGTTGGTGAAATCGGTAACAATGTCCCAGGAGGAAGTGACGCAGGGTTTGGGGTGACAGTTACTGGTACATTGGCTGTTCCTGTGAAACAAAACATCAAGCAGTCAGACACAGTCATTAGGCACCCGCAGGGGTAGGTCCTGGAGAGAAGGGGCGGGCCAGCCAGGCACTGTTCGGTCCTCTTCCACCGGTCCCAGACGTCGCATTAGACACATGCAAACAATGAATTACGTCATTAGAAATATTCAAACACTGCAGCTGCCACACAGGGCAGGATCGGGGACAACTGGCCTCTGTGAAGTGATGTTTAAGCAAAGATGGACATACTTGAGTATTTTGAGTTCTTTTTCTGTACCAGCTATGAGAGCTGAACTGTGAAACTCACAATCTAGAAAGTCAAATATGTGGGTGGCTATCTGCCATGGCCAATGACCCCGAAATAAAGCTCACCTGAAAACCCAAACTGCGAAACAAAAAGGCCATGTATCCAAATGCAAATATTTTTTTTGTTTTGGACCCTAAAGCATCTCAAGCAGAATAAGTGAGGTTGCCTATGTCTGGAAAGACGGCAGCAGGGAGATAGCTATCTCGTTGGATTTAAAAGGATTCCTGATGCTATTATTTACCCCGTGTCAACAAGCACCGGGGATTTCTTTCGGGTGAGGCTATTTCTGAAAGAAAAAACTGTTCACATTTGACCTGGGACCTCTAGAGACACGTCTCATAAAGCCTGGTGTCCCTATAGGTACTGGCAGCACCTATGGGTGGGACTGCAGGCAGAGAGGCAAGGACTCAGGGCACAGAGTGGGGACCTCCACAGGAGACGGGGCAAGGAAACAACTGATTGCAAAGTGGAAAATGTCACGCTTGGGAAAAGAAACGACATTCTCTGTGACAACCCTCTCACCCTCTTTCCACTTCTGTGATGTTGATGACCCCACAGGTGGCTAAGTGCTGTTAAGTAATATTTTAAATTAAACATGAAAAAGAAAGAAAAGGTATTTCTAGAGCTTTCTGCATTATTTGCTACAAACTTTAGAATTGTCTGCTAGGAACAAACAAGCCAAGCATTGCAGCCAGAAAATCTGGGTTTGCTTGCACCTCCCAGCCACCTGGAGCTGCCTCTCTGGAACCCCGCTGTGTGAGGTGGGGGTAATAAGCACTAAACCACCCCACCAGGCTGCTGCAAGGAGCAAATGAAATCACAGGGGGCGGGGCGGGGGGGGGGGAAACGGGTGGAAGGAGGGGCTCTTCAAACAGAAAAGCACTAAACAAATGGGGGGGGAGCACTACACATATGAACTGTCCTTACAGGCTCTCAGCCCTGTTTTTTTGTTGTTCTTGTTGATTTGTTTAACAAAAGAGGACACTGTGGCCCAGAAAGGGGACACCATTTGCCAGAAGCCACAGAACTGATTAGGGACAGAAGCAGGTTCAGAGGCAAAGTCTCCTCGCTCCCGGGGCACCGTCTTTGGTTTCTGCTGCTTCTCTCACACCAGGGCTTGCCCTTCACACTACCCCCACTGGATTCTGCCAACAGCAAAAAAAAAAAAAAAAAATCAAACTAAACCTGAAATCTTAAAATATTTGGGTGTTTAGAATATGCAATATACTCTGCAGTCACAAAAGCTAAACAGTGACGGTTTTCTGAAATACTATTTTCTGTTTCCTTTTAGAAGACTTGGAATTAGTTATCATAAAAAATTTCCTTTTTGATTCTCTGTTTTCTTCTTTTTAATCTCCCATTCTTGGAATTTACAGATACCCAAGAAACAGGCCTTCAGTTGTTTTTAGAACAAACCAGGATATAAATCAACGCTACTGTAAAGGTGGGTCAGTGGACTGGTTCATTTGGTCTGTGAGCAAGAAGTAGCCCCTGGTCCCGAGCAGGCAGCCCTCCAAGCCCCCCAGTTGGCTCCTTTGTCCCATAATCACTAGACATGAAAGAAAGCCCTTACCTACAGGATCCAATGCTCCCTCAGGTCCCTGTTGGCCAAAACCCCTTACACAGAAATAAGTGGCAAGATGCTCTTACAGCTACAGGATGGCGAAGTCTAACATAGCATGTCATTCAAATATCTGTGCTCCTTGGGAAATGCCTTGGTTTGCAATAAAAATTGTATTTCCACGTTGCCACACGCAGTCGATTTTATATGGGAGTTTTACAGTTTTACAGTTATTAAAATTTCAGTTTTGCAATTCTACTTGGAAGGCTGATACTGCTTTCATCACTCGATCCTTCCTATTCATGTTGCTTATCTTCTAGTTGGACTCGGCTTCATTCTTCTCATGTAGTCTTGCCTTGTAGCCAGGGAGGAAAAGCATGTTCGCTGAATTAGCAAATGACACCAAATTCAGACATGAATAACTTCAGAGAAACTTACTTCCAAGACTTAACAACTGACTGAAATTACTGTAAAAGATAGAAAGGCTAGCCCTTTGTCCAAATAGTACCAAGACAGGAACAGGCTGGGAGCTTCCCTTTAAGAATAGCTTACATTGCCTATAGGCAGAGTTAACTGGAGCTTGTCATGAACTAGAATAGAAATGTAGGCTAGTAAAGAAATAACAGATTCTTAGGTCATGTCAAAATGTTTTCACTTCTAAATTAACAAATATTTCATACATAGAAAGGAATATCTATACTGTCTCTATGTAAGGTATAGAGACTAAATAATGAAAAGCATACATGGCCTATGGCTTTATGGAACTCAGTCTTATGGGCTATGGGGACTTAAACATTCTCACAAATGTAAAAATAGTCAATGCTATGGCTGAAAGATGCTCTGGCCTTAACGGGATGCAATAGGAGGAAGTGACCTGATCAGGGAGGTCAGAGAGCACATCAAGGAGGAAGTGACTATCAGGCAGAGACCCAGAGAATAAGCAGAAGTTAACTAAGCAAAGCAGTAGGGAAAAACATCCCATGTAGAGGGACACACAAATGCAAAAAGCACAAATAGTACAGGGAACTGAAAGAAGGTGACCAGAGCTAGATCAGGGAGAACATTAGTAGGCATGGCACGAGGTAGGTGATGGCCTGACCACTGTAGGGTCACAGGTTTAAGTTTAAAGAGGTGGGAGATGGAGGGGAGGCACGGTGATGTGCAACAACAAATTTGTGATTTAGAGCAATTGTTCTGGCTCTGGATGAAGAACAGACTGGAAAGCAGCAAGAGTGGATGACAGGGGACCAGTAAGGAAAACCTACAGTGGTCCAGCCATGTGAGGTCAGCAAAGTTGTAAACAGCAGTGGAGCCATGGGTGGGAGACCGATATAGATAATAATCCCCCTACGGCCCCTTCCAAATCTCAGAGTTCAGGATAATGCAGCCCTTTAAATAGGTTTGTGTTTGTATATATGATAGTTTTGGTTTTTAATGGCTACAAATTCTCCTAAACGCCTCTCATTGAGAAGTGGGGTCTGTGTCCCCTCCCCCTGAATCTGGGTGAACTGGAGACTATTCAACCAGTCAGAGTATGGCAGAAGTAATGCCATGTGACTTGTGAGGCTACCATCAGAAAAGGCCAGGCAGCCTTCACTGGGTCTCTTGGAACGCTCGCTCTCCATATGCTCCCTCACTCCCCCTCCTGGAACCCGGCCACCGCTCTGTGAGCAGTCCAAGCCACATGGACAGGCCATATGTAAGTCCTCCAGTCAACAGTCCCCACTGAGCCAAGCGCCCCAGTTATTCCAGCCTGGGCCCAGGCACGTGAATGAAGAAGCCTCCAGAAAATCCTAGCCCCCAACCATCTGAATCACCCTGGCTGCCTGAGTCCTTCCTACCGAGCTCACAGGCATCATGAAGCAGAAACAAGCCCTCTCCATGGTGCTTGGTCTAAATTCCCGAAACCACGAGCCTAGTAAGATGGTTGTTATTTTACAACACAAAGTGAGGGGTGGTTTGTCACACATCAGTAATAACTGAAACAGTACTGGGTTGGGTCCCTTGTGTCTGGGAAGTGGGTTTGATTAATCAGGTCCTCAAAAAATGCAGAAGTCAAAATCAATTAAGAACTTTCATTTCAATAAAAATCACTTCTGTGGTTATACATGAGGTTTTAGAAAGACATCAAAGCTAACAAGTAAAATGTATCTGTATTTATTAAAGTTGCGTCAGGGAAGAGATAAGAAGGGAAAATGTGTTTTGAGGGGGAAGTGAGGGTAGGTGGCATTTATAAAGAAGGGGAAAGTAAATTAGGGGAAGTAGGGCATGACGAAATTTCAGAGTTTAAAACACTCAAAGGAAGGCAATGAAGCAGAAGTTTGATATAGGGGGTGTGCTAGACACTCTCTAAGGCAGCCCCACAATCCCCATTTCTTGGTGACCACGTCTCTGTGTGACCCCCTCCTATAGAATGAGCAGAACCTGTGGCTTGTTTCTAACCAACAGAATATGGCAAAGGTGATAGCGTGACACTCTTGTGATTACATCATCTTAGATAAGACTCTAGCAAGCTAGCAGACTCATTCTCCTTGATGGCCTGATGAATTAAGAGGCCATACGGGGAAAGCACATGTGACAAAAAATATGTGGGCGGCCTCTAGACACTGCCACAGTCTCTGAGAACTATGAACGGCCTCTCTGAGCGGAAAATGGCCTCCAGCTGAGAGGCAGCAAGAAGTCAGAGCCTTCAATCCAGCAGCCCCAAGGAAAATTCTGCCAACAACTTGAATGAACTTGGAAATGGACTCTTCCTCAGCCAAGCCTCCAGGTGATAGCACAGCCCAGCTGACACCATGACTGACACCTTGTGAGACCTTGTGCAGAAGACCCAGAAAAGCTGTGCCCAACCTCCGGACCCCCCGTTG